AACACAACCAAAAACGAAAAGACCAGTGAATTGCAGCCTAAAACCAAACTAAAACATCAACACACACAACAGACCAAACCATTAAAGCGACAAAAATGTATTGAGAAAATGGGCAGTCCTGAAATTTTTCAGAAACAGAGAGAAAATAATAAAGGGCAAAGACAAACTATCCCAGAAACCGAAATGCTTCAACATTCAACTAGTAAATTACAAGATGGCAAAAGTCAGAAGCTTGCGGCATTTCCAGGTCCCTCACTTTAAATTTCCATACATATTTACCAACTGAAACAATAAAGGAACAAGCTCAGGAAGAGAGGATTGGAAACAACCAAACAGACATAGGAAAATCTAACCTTTGTAACAGCAATGAGACTTTGAGATGTGTCGTGTAAGAGACAGAGAGAGACAGAGATCTGGGGTGAAGTCAATGAGGGTGGATTCTGGTCACAAACGAGAGAAAGGGGAGATTTTGATTTGAGACGGAAGCTTATACTGATGGACAAAGGGAAGTGAGAGAAAGTCACGAGAGCATTATTAAACACCAAGGCTTTTTGGGAACTCAAACCACTTTCTACTTTCTTCTTCTTCACTCATAAAATAACATTCACGTAAACAAAATAAGCAGAATCGACTGGAAGACAAACATGAATGAGGGATACACATACATACATACACACCCCCCACATGGCCACATACGAATCCTTTAACATTTACTATAACTTTTCTGCTTCCATAAACAAATGCCAAATGTTTATTTAATTGAAATTCATTACAAAATTTTCGGAGCCATAAAATATTTTCTTTGAAAAAGTATACCATTGCAAAGCATATAGACACATTAAAAACAAAAAACTCTCGGTGCCATATAATTGCAACGATGTAACAATGACTTCAATATTGATTGCTGTTGTTAATGCTAACACAGAATATCTTTTACTAATTAAACAGGTTGAGGAAAGTTATTATTTAATCCAAAATGCTCTGAAAAAACAACCTTTTGTTTACCCTGTGAAGCTATAATGAGCTTATTATTTTAGTTTTATGTTTGAAAGAATTGTTTTTTAAATGTGTGTGCCGTATGGGAATATAAAAGGTGGAAATAATGAATAGGCAATTTGAACAAGGCAGAGTGGGGCCCACAGTCTTTGTAAAAATTTTGTCCCTGTCTGTCTCCGGCGGGAAGAGGCCACCCAAAATTCGTGCTCTCTCACACTTCGCTTTCCACTTTCCAGCGCAAACCCTCTGTGGGTCCCATCTTACATTTAAAGATATTCAAGCTGGTAACTGTTAGATCGAGTGCTTACCACTAGGCCAAAACTATAGTCATTAGTCAGAGCGCAACTCTTTTTACTTTAACAGCCCAAGCGCCACGATTCAATTGTGACTCGGCCCACCTAACCTTCGTCACAGGACAATTGATGCTACCTGCAACATAACTTTGTATATTTTTACGCAATAAATTTAGGGTAAAATTTAGCATACAATATAGAAAATTAAAGTGAGTTACTTCACCTAATAATTGACATGCTGCATTCTGTATCCTAAGCTAAACCAGTGATTTGAGGATAAAGCAGAGTAAAGACAGTTAATCAGAAACAGATTTTTAGTTTTATTTAGTGGGTGGATATACCATATCTATGTGCTTTTTAATGCCACCAATGAGTAAGGATGGTTAGTCAAAAAAACCCAAGAATCGTATACAATCTGCAAGTCACTACCACTTTGTTTGCTTCTGCCGAACCGATCAACTGCAATAGGATATGGAAAGGAGAAGAATAGAGACGATGATGATGATTGTGATGGTATTTGTTCTTGCAAAAAATTAGAAGAATTCTGACTAGATGCAAGTAAGAAAAAACATATCTCAAACTTAACTTAAAAGAATTTTTTATTGAATTAATTTGTCTGGATCTATTATATATATTTAATTATTTGATTCTCGCGGAACAAGATCAGCTCTTAACTATAGACTAAATTTTCATAATTATACAATCTGTGTCCCATGAAAACTTGTGATTTATTGGACACTATACAGATTTGTAGTCTCAATATAAAGATGTCGATATTTAAATTTTTATTTAAAAATAATTATAATATCAATAACTCTTCTAAGAAAATAAAAAACAATAATTAAATATTAAAATAGTAAATTGATTGAGTTGATCTAGAATTATACATAAAACCGAGTTTATCTATTATGTATAAAAAATAAATTATAACTTCTATTTTATATATATAAAAAAATCGTGAGAATTATCTTATTTATTGTTACGGTTAGTTCAATTTTATATATGCGTCTTAAATGACAAACTAACTATTCCATAACTTTTATGTTTGCAGCAATATTTGTGTTAGGGACAAACAATTTTCAATCCAATAAACTTTTTTTTTTCATTTTAATACTTGAATCTGAAGCCTTGGTAAAAATATATGAATCCAGCTTAAGTTGAACCAATAATATCAACGTGTTGGTAAATAAAAAATATTTTAAAAACTAATTATTATAATTTTTATTGTCTTTCACAATATACAATAGTGTACAAACTTTTTTTTATATAAAACTGTAATAGTTTCATTGTCATTATTGTTATTGTTATGAATTTTAGGACAGCATTTGTGAACTGATTACAATACAAACCATGTATAGTTATTCTTTTACTAAAATATAAATTTGATTAATCAAAGAGTTGATTGATAAAAACTATTCAATAACAAACGTATTTGTAACATTTCTTTTAGAAATATAATAAGGTACGACTAATTCACTGGATGTAACTTTTGTGGTATGATTCAAAGCTACAATTTTTAATGTTTCTGAAAAGCAAGCACCTAATATTTGCTTCGTGGGTGTATTTGTTGATAGAAAATCTAAGTTCTTCTTAAAATGTCAAGCTGTATGCAAACGTGCATTATAATGGTAATAAATGACAGAACCTACACATCCACATTTATGAAAACAAATATAAGAAACAAAATGGACCCAGTCAGAGTTGAAGAGTCCAAATCATGCACCAGTAACACATACATATAATCATTTTCTAATGTGATTTTACTTATCTTCCTATCCAATTATACTAGTTTGATGATGAATTATGTTCATGAAAAGATAAAACATATGCAAGATATGTATAACACAGTGCCGGCTAGGGCCTGTATAAAGTAGAAACACACAAGAGTTTCTAGATGCTGCAATGGGGTGAAGAATCAATGGGTTCAATTAATGTGGAGTTATAACATTCACGAGACCTTTCACTCAATGAATATTGCTTACCCATTTGAGCTACATTTTGCAACTGCAAACAGTTGAGTATTTTGTTTTCATTGCTGCAAACAAAATTTTGGCAAGTTACTGGAATGGAACCCAGTTACCCTACACCCAACAACCAGAGCAGTGCAAGCCAGCATTTTCTGTGTGTCAATAAAGATAAACATGAGAAAGTTGAGAGCAATGATCTTTACTCGCCAATTCAGTGGTCCAAATTGCTGTAACACACATCGAACAAGCTAAGCTTCATCCAAATCAACCAAAGCAGTTGGTAAAGGCAAAACTTTTGGCAACAAACTAGAAAGAAAAATATGCTTAAAATGATTAAAAATTCCTCTGAAACATGTGAGGGTAATTATTGACAGTTTACAGCATGCATTGCATTAATTGTCAACAAAAACAACTAATCACGTAGGAATTTCAACTTGCATTCCTGGAGGAAAAAGTGTTGATTATCAAATTGGTTACTCAATCTGTTGCATTCAAGGTGTTTGATGATTTGCTCCATACTTTGCCAAATGGAATTTGTTTTTTTTTTTTTTGGTTTGGTTGATTCTTGACAAATATTGTAAAATAAACATTTCATACGATTTTTTTTCCCCCTTACTCGATCCACCTAACCTTGATTGTTATTTGTCAAATATTGTATTAAGTGATTGTGGAAGCAATAAATATCAAATTGGCCTAACTGTGTTGAAGTTTCCAGTTTCAACATGTTCGTTACAAACAAGTAATTGGTATTGTTGGTGCGCGCAGAAGGGCACCTTCCATTAATTTCATAATGGATTTTTCCATAATATTAAAAATTCATTTTAAAAAATCCATTTATTTTTTTAAATTTCAATTGTTTATTTTCCATAATGTGTAAATGTTGTTTATTTTACATTATTATAAAATTTATATCTAATAATGTATTTTTTTACGTGTTTTTTTATCCTATTTCATTTCATAATGCATGCATGATCTGAAATGTGTTTAACACGATTTGAGATTATGTATTTCGAAATATTTATCGTCTCCTTATTTGTTATTGGACTCCAATTGCACAGGCCCAAGCCCAAGGCAAAGAAGGAGCTGGACCAGGGTGTGGCGGCTTTAAAATGTACATTTTTTTTAATAATTTGAAAAACAATTATAAGTATTTAAACCAAATAATCTAATTTTTTAATAAATAACATAATATTATATATTTTATGTAAAGCAATTAATACAACACCTTAACAATTAGGGCCTGTTTGTTGTAGGTTTTCTGTTTATAAAACATAATTTTTAAATAGTTTTCATGTATTATTGCAACTTTTTAAATAATGAAAAACTGAAAAATTAAACTTAGAATGCATTTTGAATAGTTTAAAAAATATATATATATCTTCTTTAAAAAAATATATTATTGTAAATAAAATATAATTTTTGCTTTATTTCTTTTAAAATGTCTAAAAAATGTATTAAGATTTCTCTATTTTAAAACAAGTAATAAAAAGAAAACGATTTTTCTAAACTATATTTTATATTTATATTTTTTCTCAAATAAAAGTGTTATATCATAGTAACTAGTTTAAAACGCGATTGTGAAAACAGCTTGAAAAAAAGAAGAAAAAAGTATTGTAATAGCACTAGCAGCATGAACAACGAGCATAACAGGTCATGGTGATTGGATATTCCCTTGAATGCGATGATGATGGCAAAGTTTTGACTTTTCTTCCTCTTCCATCTCCGTGCCGGTGGAACTACCGAAATGGGCTGCATCTGCACGCCCTTCTCCGCCATTCTCCTCACTTCTCCTCCACTTTGCCACCGCCTTCCACCGTCGCCTCCACATTTCGCCGCCGTCGTTCCCTTTCGTCCTAAACAACAAACCCCTTCTAACACTTTTCGCCTTTCAGCTCTTCCTCTGTTATTCCAAGGCAGTGGCGGAAACAACAACAACAATAACGGCGGTAGTTGGGGTAACCCCTTTGATTCCAACGATTCAGATTCAAATTCAAATTCAAATTCTCACCACACCCTTTTCGTTTCCCTGCTATGCTCTTCCGCCGCATGTTTCTTCTGCCACCTCCTTCTTGTTAAATTTGCAAAGGCCAAAACCTGGTCTTCCTCCACCGATAACGAGCTTTTGTCCGAACCCGTTTGGGAAGTCAAAGGTGGCAAGTGGACCAGGCTTGTCCCAGACCCCACCAACGATCTCTTTGTCTCCGCACATCCGGGGTTGTTGTCGGAGTTACAATCCCTCAAGCCTTCACAATTTGGAACCTTCGTGTGGCTCAAGTGCAGGGACATCTTCACGCGGTTGATGCTTCCAGAGGGTTTTCCCGAGAGTGTGACGAGTGATTACTTGGAGTATTCTCTGTGGAGAGCAGTTCAGGGTGTAGCTTGCCAAGTTAGTGGGGTGCTCGCAACGCAATCGTTGCTTTATGCTGTTGGATTGGGAAAAGGGGCTATTCCAACTGCTGCTGCCATCAATTGGGTGCTCAAGGATGGAATTGGGTACCTCAGCAAGATCATGTTGTCAAACTTTGGTCGCCACTTTGATGTTAATCCCAAAGGGTGGAGATTATTTGCTGATCTTCTTGAAAATGCTGCCTTTGGTTTGGAGATGTGTACTCCTGCTTTCCCTCAGTTTTTTGTGCTCATTGGTGCTGTGGCTGGGGCCTCTCGCTCCGCTGCTTCACTGATTCAGGTAATGCCAGTTCTTGTTATGCCTTTAAGTATTTTTGTTTAACAACTAGAACAGGGAGGTTTTGGCCGTTCTGGTTTAAGTAAGAGTAAAGAGGTTAAATGAATGCGAAGCACATTGATATCGAGTGTTTAAGTATTATAATGATAATGGTGTGCATAAAGTGCTTCCCTTTGATTTTGTTTGCAATTCTGTGAATGTTTCAGCATAGTTATTGGAATGTTATGATTTGCAATTCGAATTGTGCAATTTGAAATGATTTGGATTTGGCTAGCAGAAATTTGTATCTTTTGTGATGAACAATTTGCAATGTCTTTGAAGTTTATATCTTTGTCGCTAGATAGTGTTGGTCAAGCCAGTCGTGTGTGGTGTAGAATCTGTATCTTACATGATGATTCAATTTCAATCATTCTGGGGTGAGTATCAGTAAAAAATTTAAACGAAAAGCATATTGAAACTAAGAGTTTAAGTATATTAATGATATGTGTGATTGTTCATTTGTTTGTTCCAGCTTACCGAGTTGGTCATTTCTTGTTGCTATTGGAGATTGCTAACTATGATTGAAAGTTTGAACTGATTTTTTTCTTCCCAGGCTTCTACCAGGAGCTGTTTCTTTGCTGGTTTTGCTGCTCAAAGGAATTTTGCTGAGGTGAAAAATAGACCCTTTCTTCTTTATTAACTAGGAGTATTCAGTTATTGATGCAACACAACACTCATTTCATTTTCTTAGTTTGGAAGATATCCATCTAATGCTATAAGTGGCATGATTCATGAGCATTCATTGAACTCATTTGTTTTACCTATATACTACCTTCTTTGTGAAAATAACTGTAAATTTATAGGTAATTGCCAAAGGGGAAGTGCAAGGAATGGCAAGCCGGTTTATTGGTATTGGGCTCGGTATAGGATTGGGTAACTGCATAGGCTCATCCACACCCCTTGTTCTTGCTTCATTTTGTGTCTTGACTTGGATCCACATGTACTGCAATCTGAAGTCATACCAGTCCATTCAATTACGGACTTTAAATCCTTATCGTGCAAGTAATTTCTGATCCTATCGTATACTCACTCAAAGACAATCATGTGAGAGTTGTGTTCTGTTTCTCTTTTACAAATAATTAGTTTACTGTTCATGAAATATGGTGATATGTAAATATAACTAAGACAAGGATATTAGTTAGTTAGTCAGCTGTTGCTAGTTCATAGCTGTTTGGTAGCTGCCTATAAGTAAGTTAAGTTGTTTTCTAGACGGCTGAATCTAGATTGAATGTTTAATGACAGAAGTTCACTGCACATATCATTTGACCTTTCTCTGTTCTCTCCTTTTTCCCTTAAACCTCCCTATTCTGTTTTGTTCTCTCTTCCCCTCTTCTTTCTGTCTTCCTTTTTTGTTCTCTCTTTTTCTGTTTCTTTCATCCATCCTACCTAAATTCTATATCATATGGAATATTCTGAAATGTTGTCTCTTCCGTGTAGATTTAATTTTGTTTATTGGAAGTTCTTGTAGGTTGCATTTATACATCACTCTTAGTTAGGAATGCTTGTGCAATTATTTGTTGGAGGGCTTGGGAATCGTGAAATGAAACTAGGGGTTGATTTATATGTGAAAAGGTCAAAACTTTATATGTCTTGTTGGTTATTTTGGCAGGTTTGGTTTTTAGTGAATATCTACTCAGTGGCCAGGCACCTCCAGTTAAAGATGTCAATGACGAGGAGCCACTATTTCCAGCGGTACCCATATTAAATGCAACTTTTGCAAACAAAGTGAGTTAATCTTGCTTGTGTTAAAGTTGTGAAATTTAAACCTTTGAAATGATGCTCCTGTCTTCCTGATTCAAGATTTGCTGCTTGCTATAATTAAATTTATTTATTCTTTTTTGTGACTGTTTGTGTAATTTTAAGGTTCTTTCTGTCTTCTTCTAATAGCACTTATGACTTCCCAGTTCAGGCTAGGGAGTATCAGGTTACATGTCCATGGGTCCCTTGTTATATGATGATAACTTGTTGGGAAATTTACTCTTTGCATTTTCATCGGGTTTTAAGATGGTCATTGTTCTTATGCCAACTAACTCCTCTTCACTATTCTTGTCAATGCCGGACGAGTGTAGGAAGTATAAAACGTAAACCATTGTGAGACTAACCTGTAAAAGATAATGTGATTTCCTCTTTTCAACCTGGTATAAATTCATAGTATTTGTATGAAGTATTACCTAAAATAACATTATATCATATATACTCTTCTAACATCAATTTGATTAGGATGCCCTAAAAATCGTTGGTGCATAATCTAATTTGTAATGTTTTGTCTTGTTTACTTTTGTGATAGACACAATCAATTGTTTTATCATCTGGAGCAAAAGACGCAGCCGCAGAAATTGAACGTCGTCTGCAGCTTGGATCCAAGCTTAGTGAAATTGTCAACAGCAAGGAAGATGTGCTTGCCCTCTTTGGGCTTTATAAAAATGAAGGGTACATCTTGTCAGAACACATGGGAAAATTCTGTGTAAGTTTACAACAGCACTTTTAATTTCATTGGATTTTTTCTCATTCTAAATAATTTGGTGGGGATTGTTTGCTTTCCTCCTTGATTCATGTTTTGATGTGTATGTTTGTATGCTCTAGATTCTTTTTTCTTTTTATCGGGGGAGGAGACTTTTTGAAAAATAAGAAACAAATAAATTAAAAAAGGCCAGGTTAACTTTTCTTGTCAATTAGTTACAAAATGTTTTCAACTTCTTTTTGGTTCCATCTATTTTTTTGGAGTTTTTTATTAACGAACTTATGTTTGAGGAGCTTCAAATGTAATGAGATATCTGTGAAGCACTGAAACAAAAAGATGTGTCAGTCGATTAGAGGCAGAAGGCTACACAATTCATTTTATCTTGTACCTTTTCTTTTCCTCTCTGAGCTGCTATATTTTCTGTCTCTAAAATTTTATAACTATATAAGCTGAAATGTTGTGCGTTATTTGTCAAATGGTTTTCCCCTTGAAGCATTGTTAGCAAATTGGTACATCAAGTTCACTCTTTTCCCAATTTGAAAGGCTATTTCATGTTATTATTTTACCTTTTTGTATCATGGGTCTCATAATGCATCTTGCTGGTTCAGGTTGTGCTCAAGGAAAACTGTTCACAGCAAGACATGCTCAAGGCACTGTTCCAGGTCAATTACCTTTATTGGTTAGAAAAGAACGCAGGAATTGGAGGAAAAGGAACCCTGAATGATTCCAAACCTGGTGGGAAGTTGCATATATCTCTGGTTTATGTGGAAAGGGAATTCAACCATGTAAAAACTGATGGGGAACTGGTAGGCTGGGTCACTGACGGGCTTATTGCAAGGCCATTGGCAAATAGGATTCGCACTGGCGACACAGCATCCTCAAACTCAGTGAGTAGCTGACTGACCAAAAGACTGGTGGTTTTCATTCATGAGCACTTGCATAGCTGCATGGCGAAGCTAGTTGGACTCGACATTTCTTGAAGATCTTGCTGGTTGGTTCTTGGCCACTGGTGTTGGAGTAGTGCATCCCGCGCTGCAATGCATGCAACTAAGTGAATGGCGCCAAGATTAACCACAACCAGATGAAGCCTAATGGTGTGTCAAAATCCCCACTTTACCTTCCTCATTTGTCAGTGAAATGGACTGACCCGGAAACAGTCAATTGACGGGGAAACAACACACAGCTTTTACTTAGGAGATTGCACCTCACAGATAAATTGAGTTGTGCATATTAACCGTCAAGTTTTTGCATATTTCGGAACCAAACCAGTATACATTTGGGCAAAATCTTGTACAAATACATATCCCTCCACAAATTTGATGTTTCTTAACTGCATAGTTTGTCTTTGCCACAAATGCCTCCATGTCATTGCCTGTATATTTTACCAAAAAGCCAAAACTTGATTTAACAATTTGCGAAATTGTAAATTCAAAATATCATCACCTCTACAAATTATTTTCTTCTCTTAAAAAAGGGGCTCACAGAACTTCAGAATGAAAAATGCTAAATAATCGATGACCTCATGTGCCTGTTTTACAGAGGTTGAAACTTTTCCGGAACACATGAAAAAACGAAACAAAAATTTCATATCTCGATCATAAACTCCACGTTACGTATAAAAAGCTTCAGAACCTGTTCCTGAGAATGGAGAGTTAGAAAGATGAAGGAGGAGATAGAGGAACTGTGGAGGGAAGTGAGGGATTTGAGCTTGGGAAACAGTGGAAACGTAGACAGATTAGAGTCTCCACCAAGCGCAGTTGAGTTCCTCAGAGACTTTATCACTCCAAACAAACCATGCGTAATCTCCAACGCCATTTCACACTGGCCCGCACTCTCTTCCTGGCCCCACCACTCCTACCTCTCCCAAACCCTCTCCGCCGCCACCGTCTCCCTCCACCTCACCCCCACCGGCGCCGCGGACGCCCTCGCCCCTCTCCACTCTTCCCTCTGCTTTGCCTCCGCGCACGTGCAGCACGTGCCCTTCCCTGAAGCCCTTAGCCTCATCTCCTCATCCGAACCCCACAAGCTCGTGGCTTACGCACAGCAACAAAACGATTGCTTTCGCTCTGAGTATTCGTCTCTCGCCGCTGACTGTGATCCTCACCTCGGTTGGGCCACCGAAGCTATTGGGTCTGAACCCGAAGCTGTGAACCTTTGGATCGGTAACCAACATTCCCAAACCTCGTTCCACAAGGATCATTACGAGAATCTCTACGCCGTTGTCACAGGAGAGAAGCACTTCCTCTTGCTGCCACCTACTGATGTTCATCGCTTGTACATTCGTCACTACCCTGCTGCCACTTACACATATTCTTCGGTATTTTCATCCCATTGTTTTTCATTCAAGAAAATATGTAGATTTTGTTATTTTCATTCTATAGGGTAGCATCATCTATATGTAAAGTTACTGGCAAGTAACTTTACTGAGGTTATCAACCTGAAAATTTTATGTTTTTATAACTAGCTTTGTATATATAGGAAACTTTTAGTTTTATGCTAGCGAGTGAGAAGCTAAAACTTTCAAGGAGGAAATCAACACAACTAATGTTTATTTTGGAACCAAATTGTAGTTTTCCTCCTTTTTTTTCCTTCTAGTTGATGGGTCTGAGCTTTAATATAAAAAGCTTTTGAAGTTGATTTCTTTTGGTTGTTGTGGTTTTGTTTGTAGGATACAGGAGAGTTCGATTTGGAGCTTGAGAAGCCAACAAGGTATGTGCCTTGGTGCAGCGTGGATCCTTATCCTTCTGTGGAGACCGTGGATGATGAGATGGCCAAGTTTCCCCTGTACTTCAATGGCCCTCGGCCTTTTGAATGTACTGTGAAGGCCGGGGAGGTTCTCTATTTGTAAGATTCCCTTGCTTTGCTTTTGCATCTTATGCATGTGTATAATTCTCTTGTTTTCTTTCTTCTATGGTATATTCTTTATCATCTTGCTTTTTATAATGCCATCATATGTCAACGAATGCTCAAGCACCTGTACTGTGTAATCTATGCGGAGAAAAGGATAATGCACTCTGTAAATCCAGTTTTGGTGCTTATTTTGAAGCCAATTCAAACCATTTTGTGATGCCATACATAATATGCCATTCAATTCGTGATTAAGCAACTTGACTTTTGCTATATGAAAGCTTATGAAACGCGTGATATTTTATTCACAAATTGTTGTAGAGCAGGAGATTTATGATTCCTTTTCTGAACATAACCCAGCTTCTAAACCTTCACTTTGAATTCTGAAATGGAGAAAGGCCATGAACTCTGAGATAGTAAATTTGAACCTTGTAACGGTTCATGGCCATAGTAGTACTAACATTAAAACTCTGCATTCGGTGCTGCAATTTTTGCCATACAACATGAGTGAATGTATGAATCTGGCTGGTTTATTTTTGTTGGTATATTACATTAACTGAAAGAACAGTATTGCAAGTGTGGGAATTATTCTATCACCTTAATGTTGATTATCCTTTCTGTAGTATATGCTGAAGGATGAAACTAATGCAGGCCTAGCATGTGGTTCCATCATGTTAGACAGAGTGCGGATGCTGGAGGATTAGCTATTGCAGTAAATTATTGTAAGGACCCAATCTTCCCTTTAAGTTCCATGTCAATTTTAATCAGAATTCTGATGCTACATATATGAAATGCAGGGTACGATATGCAGTTCGATATTAAGTATGCTTATTTCCACTTCTTACAATCTATTCAATATCGATCTACTCCAAGTCCAATGCTAAAAGATAAATTGGCTGAGGAGATTGATTCAGGTCCTGATGATAATGAATCTTGATGAATTCTCATTTCTCAACCGGCCATATTAATGAATTCAATTCAAGTGAATTGTGAACACCATAAGTAAATGGTACTTTATCGAACACATTCAGGAAACAGTGAGAAAGCATTATTTCCCAAAATGTGCTGCTACTTGTGCGCTGGTGACATGACTTGTGCGTAGTGCCACTACAATTTTGTTTCGTCCTTAATTTTTTATGATGCCAATTTTCCCTGTTACCATATTAATGTATTAGTCTTGTTGAGCAAATTGTCCCAAAACAGCTTGTGTGTAGTGCCACAACCCCAATGGTCGAAAAACCAGTATGTTTGCTTTTGGGCTTTGATAACAGATTGGGCGTCAAAACCTCCATACTTACACATTCTAATATCTAACCGTTGAAGATTGACTAATAGTTGTATAAAATGCTTCAAGCTTTCCTTCTTTCTTTTTTTATCATTATCTTTAATATGAATAATTAAATCTAGTGCAATAATTAAAAACAAATATTGAAACAATTTTTAAGTAAATCTAAATTTAGGAAACCCTATAAGAATAAGTCAATAACTTTGTTTTTAAAATCATAAATATGAAAAGATAAAATTCATTTTAATGTAAACAAATATATAATTTAATTTCATAATATTGTTAAAATGTTTATCATTTGTTCATACTTGAGAAATATAGTGATAGTATTACGGTATTATTTTGTTACATGAAACCACTTTTGTAATTTTGGGTATTATTTTGCATACTGTCGACAATGATGATGGGTGGTATATTATTTCCATCTACAATACATTAATATACCTAAATTTCAATTTGTTATTTTTTTTAAAAATGAAAAACATATCATAAAAGTTATGTCTAGGTATTGTTCATTTGTAAATTTACTTTCAATTTTTTATGTACTTCCTAAATTTCAAAAATTGTTAAGTAATGTTTTATACATTTTAAATGTGAGTCATTCATAATAGATTCAACCATTGCTATATTTGAATAATTATGTAGAGTTAAGAAAATATGTATTTATGGGAATATTATCCAAAAGTTGAATGATGATCGCATGAAATTATATTAATACTTTTATATGTCACTCATTGATATTGATATTGATAGATACTCATTTATTTTGTATAAGAGTTTGTTTAGGGTGTCTATTAAAAAAGGTTAATTTTTATTGTCATTGTATAATATTTCATGTAATGGTTCTATAAAAGTTTAAATATTCAAATGTTTAGTAATATAATTTTTATGTACACTATTTTATGCCATAATTTATTAACTAAGTTAAAATATATCATTTAATACAAAAATATATTTAAAATGATAAAAATAAACAAATTTATCTTCTTTCACTCGTTAATATACTTAGGTATAATGAAAGTAATATGGGGGAGATTGATGGAAATGTTCCTACATTTTCAAGAGATGATTTAAGTTAACTACATTCAAGTCAACACCATTCAAGATGAATTAAGAACAAACTGAATTTAAGACATTTGTGACAATGTGAAACATTTCCCTACATACCCAATATATGTTTTTGATAAAGATGATGATTCAAGCAAGTCCAAGATGATTCCTCAAGACTAGATAGAGTCTTAGAATACTGGATATGGAGATACAAATTGATGAAGTAATATTATGCATAAGTCTCCAAAGCACAAGTGTGATAAAATTCATAACATGATATTTTTCACTGTCATAATCAATTATGATGCATCAGAAATGGAAAATGATTTACTTTGTCATAATTGATTATACTGGTAATATAATCAATTATGGTAATTCAAATTTGAAAAATATATTTGTTTTGAAGAATAAATGTTTTTGAAAATATCCTGATTTTTATTCACGAAAATATTAATATCCAACGGCCATGTTATTTTTTTATTTAATTAAGTTTTGATGAAAAATAAAAAACACAATTATAGAATTTGAAAATACAATTTACATTCAATCAGCTTATGAGAAAAGAATTGCAAGCAAGACAACGTAAATATTTTACACCTTCCGAGTAGGCATGGCAACGGCGGGACGGGGCGGGTTTTGCCTCCCGATCCCCGCCCCGACTTTTTAACCATCCCCGTCCCCGCCCTCAATCCCCGTCGGGTTTAGAAATTAAGTCTTCATCCCGTCCCCGCTGGGTTTTGGGTTCCTCGCCCCGCCTCGTCCCCGATTTATATTATTTTTAAAAAGATAATTACATTTATAATAAATTAATTTTACTATCTATTTTTATATATAAATAAATATTTATAATTTATAATAATTATTAATTAAATATACATTTTAATTTATTATATTTATATTAAAATAAGTATGCAAAAGAAATATTTAATCATTTTTTATAATATTATTATTATTATAACATTGTATTCAAATATTTGAATATTTATAACACTATTCAAACATTTGATTATATATATAAGTTAATTCATTTGTAAGTTGTCATTTAAAAATATGAAATATATAGTTTATAAGGAAACATTTAATAAGTTAATTCTTATTCAATTAGTTCGAAGTAATAAAAATTTAAATTATCAATTCCTTTAATCATTTAAAATACAATTATTTTATTAAGATAAAATTTGATATATGATAAATAAGAATAATAAGATAAAAAAATATGACAAAAAAACTAATAAATATAAATTATAAATAAAATAATATTAATTACTACTAAGATTTATGTAAAATATTTAGAAAAAGATAAAGAATAAAAAAAATTAACTTTGTGTTCATCAAATTGGTTGAAAAGATTGAAAAAAAAAACAAATTGATGGGAGAGATTAAGGAAATGTGAAAAATTGAAAGGTAAGAGAAAAAATAATGTAATAAATTAATTGATATAAAAGATTAAAAAAGACAAAAAAATTAAAAAGTGGGTAGAAGAAAAATAATTGGGTGAAATATAAAAAAATGATCTTATATGTAATAGAAAAAGAAAAGAAAATACTTTTAAAATATTAATATTTTAAAGTTTAAATTTAAATATAAAGTCGGGCGGGCGGGCGAGGACGGGGTCGGGTGGGGATTGCATTACCCATCCCCGCCCCGCCCCGATCAACTCGGGGTTTCCCCGTCAAACTCGAGGCGGGGACGGGTCGGTCTCCACGGGGACGGGTTTAACTGTCATCCCTACTTCTGAGAAAACCCTCTTCTCTACTGTCTTCTGTGCTTTCATTGTTAATCACCTTGTTCTTGGAGATTGACATTCTACAGACTTCTACAATTTGTTGTCTCCATTACCCAGGTGTGACTGTTCTTATCTTACCCTTCATCCTTTGTGGGTTTAGGAGGTGTTTTCATCCCTTTGATTTGTTTAGGGAGGTGTTCATCCCTAGTGTGATTCTAGGGAGGTGTTCATCCTTAGTGAGATTCTAAAGATGTGTTTTTCATCCTTTGATTTGTTCAGAGGAGGTGTTGATCCCTAGTGGGATTCTAGGGAGGTGTTCATTCTTTGTGAGTTTCTAAGGAGGTGATTGTCTTTTTAATTAGTTTACTTTTTACTGGTTCTTCTGCTAAGTTGATTGTATTTTGTAAACTGAATTTGAAAGATAGTGAATTGAGAGTCACTCTTGTGTTAAGAGTTGACTGAGAACTGGATGTAGGGTTAGTTATACGCGAACCAGTACAAATCAGTGTATGCTCTTCTCTTTCCCTTATTTATTTCTCTTTTCCTAGTTATATTATCGTTTTCGCTTTATCTGTGTTCAAACAAATTATTGACTCAAATAAATTTTAATTTGTGCATCTATTCACCCCCTCTAGTCATTTGTCTAACATACAATTCTGAAAAGGTAAAATAAGTATCATTAGCAATATAATAGTTAAAATAAATTATATAATATAAAACTATTTAAAGAATAATATTGATAATAGTTTTAATATTAATAATAATAAACTTATTTTCTATCATTATTATTATTTTATCATATTATGTTGATAAAAAAATATTAACACTTTAAAATTATACGAGACAGACATGTCAAACATATGATAAAAAAGGTTAATTAACATTTTTAAAAGGAGTTTTTAATTAGAGTTGTTTAAAAATAAAATTAAATATTTTATTATGAGTCTCATAGTTGAGTTACTTAAAATATGATTTTAATTAGAGTTGTTTAAAAATAAAATTAAATATTTTATTATAGGTCCCACAATTAAGTTACTTAAAACATGGTCAAAGTTATTTATCTAAATAATTTTTTTCTAATTTTAACTAATTTAGATGTGAGATCCACAATAAAATATTTACTTTTATTCTTGAATATAAATAATTTTTTTCTAATTTTAACTAATTTAGACGTGAGATCCACAATAAAATATTTACTTTTATTCTTGAACATCTATATTTAAAGATGCATCTACTGGTTATGTTTAACAATTGGTAACTAGAATTATTAAATTATAAAAATTTGTCAAAATTCTATGTTAATATATATATATATATATATATATATATATATATATATATAAAAGGACAAGAATAGAATGCTAATTTTACTTTCAAATATATATTTTATATATTCTGTTATACTATTCATCTTAAAATATTTTTTAATCAAATTTCAAATGAAGTAAATCTATAACTTTTAAATACACATTATATTGTTAACTAATATAATGGTTAAAAATGTAATATAAGAGAATATTATTTATTAATTTTAATATATTAAAGTTTAATGTCAAGATCATGCAATAAATAATTTAATATAAAAATATAAAAAAGTACTTAGTATCTATCATTATCAATATTTCATGTAATAAATTTTATCGTTACTCTTTCTTTCTTTTACCCAAAAAAAGTTATGTAATAAAAAGTAGATACAGAGTATATATATATATATATATATATATATATATATATATATATATATATATATATATATATATATATTTAAAAAAATAAAATGGTTATAAGATCGTATTTAAAAATATATAAACAAATCGACAATATATAAATATGTTTATTAATATTCTAATCATAAAAATAGGGGAAAAAAAAGGAATTCAGAAAGCAACAAACTTATGACATGTACATCGTTCAGTGATTCTATCTATAAAAGTATCACTCCATCACTGAAAAAAGTTACTTTCCGATCTGTTTTTTCATTCTCTCTCCTTCTCTCATACTTGTTCTCTCTACACTCTCTCTCATACGAGAGAAAAAGTAAAACCCTCAAAAGTGGTTATAATGCAGAAAACGGAGGGAGAAGAATCAAAGGCAGAAAATGAAGAAGTAAAACAAGTTACGTTGATGACTTCAGACGGAGTGAAGATGAAAGTAGAAATTTCAATCGTGTACGAGATGGAGATTGTGAGGTCCTTCATCGAGGTGAATGACGCTGACCATTCCGTGCCTTTTCCGCTTCCCAATGTCTCTAGCCACACTCTCGATCTAATCATAGAGTTGGTGAAAAATGAATATGACGATGAATTCATGAAGACGTTCAGTCACGACGAGTTGAAGGAAGTGCTTGTCGCTGCTAATTATCTCAACATGAAAACTCTCCTAGATTTTATTGCTACTGCCATTGCAAATCTTCTTGAGAAAAAGAGTGTTGAGTTTATTAGAAACTTCTTCAATATAGTTAACGATTTTACACCTGAGGAAGAGGCTGAGATTCGCAAAACTAATGAATGGGTATTTCAAGACCTTGATGAAGATTGAATTTAAGGTTCTTTATTTTATTTTATTTTATTAATAATTTTTGTTAAATTATATATTTTGCTAGTTAAATTTTTGCATCTTTTTTTTTTAATTTTGTCCTTTATAATTTAATAATTTAATGTTTGTCCTTTTATCGATGCATTAACTTGTAAAAATGCAACAAAATCAATAATACATGAGGATGACATTGACATAGCTGTATTTGTCGTTATATTTACTCACTTAAAAAAAACAGTGAAATCAAATTCACATTTAAAAATAATAATGGAATAAATAAAAAAATTATTTAGCTTATTTTGTATTATGTTGACTGGGTTTTAGGTTGATATTACTATTGTAAAGAAAAACTATTTACATTGTTAGCTATTTTTAACAAGAATGTGTTAAATATAGTATTATTTTATTAGTCATATCAGTTATTTTTATATTTATTTTTCTTAAATATAAAAATATGACAACAGAAATTGAATATAAAAAACGGATTTTTCTTCCCATTTGTATTTGACATGCATTAAGTTTATATTCAAAAAAATTGTTAACGGATCGACTTAATTTTCTTAAAATAATAATTGAAATTAAACATTAAAAATTAAATTAATTAATTTAATTCAGTCTAACTTTAAAAATATGATAACTATTTGATTTAATTAAAATCATTTATTATATTAAAAATACAAAATATATAACTTTAATTTATTTTGTCAGATTAACTTTTTTTTAGAAAGTTAAATAAGAGATACTTATAACATATTCTATTAATTTAAATACCTTTAATAATTAAAAATATGAGATTGACGTATATATTTTGAATAATCTTATGATCATAGAATATTGATTAATATATAACCAAACAAAACTGTAAAGATGGTTTAAAAAATATTTACACAAAAAACTTTATTTGGAAGGAATGATTCAATAAACAATATCTTTATTTATGGCGTTATTTAATAAACCGATATAATGTTTTTATTAAATTTATAATATTATATTAAATTAAAGATAATTTAAATTAATATATAATCATATGTATTAAAATTTTAATGGTTAATTCCTGTTCATCTAATCTTTTTTTCACTAATAAAATAAAATAAAATCAACAAAATCTGATTAGTTCCTATACCCAACCTTCTTATATAAAAATAAAAATAAAAACAGAAATAAACGAAATCTCATAAGATATGTTTATCAAATAAAAATAATAATAATAATAATAATAATAAATATATTTACATTTTTCAATCATTCTCCCAATAAAAATAGATGTTTAAAATGAAACTAATAAAAAAAATAACCAATCCAAAAGATTAAATACAAATCAAAACAATATTTTTACATCTGTTTATCTGTTTTTTTTTTAACACGATTTGGTTTGATTTGTAGATTGAAAAATTTAAATTTATAGTTATTAAGAATAAAAGTGTTGAATTTGTTAAACATTTTTGGTATAGATATCAATTTTACATTTTTGAAGAAGACCCTAAATTTGGGAACATGGGTTGCAATGGTTGACGAAAATAAATTTAATATTTATATATTTTTTATTAAGATTTATTCTTAAATTAGGTATTAGTTTGTTAAATAAGTTTTTTTTTCTATTATATTTTATTTTTAAATTTGGTCTCTTATTATTTTAAGTATTAACTTTGTCTTGTTATTTTAAAAATAAGTCAATATTACTTGTTCTTGTAACATTAATAGTAATACGTCTTATAAATATATATTTTTTAAATATAATGTTACTATCTTGTATATATATATATATATATATATATATATATATATATATATATATATATATATAATTACATTTCAGTTGCATCTTTTATTAAATTTTACTATGATAAAAAGTATAATATTGACTCATTATAACTTTTTTTTTATTCATGCTAATGGATTTGCCAACATATTGGAAGATTGTTACTTTTTATATTGTCAGAGTAAGAAGATTTATCATACAATAGTTATAATATATATATATATATATATATATATATATATATATATATATTTATAAAACTAATACAAAAATAAATTAATATAGAATGCATGTTGATTTCTGAAATTAGAATAAAAACAATAATTAAGATGAGTGGTTGCGAGTGATTAGTTTTTTTAACGTCATTTTCTTTTAGGCAAAAAGAAGGGTCGGAAATTATTTAAAATAAATATATATTTTATAATGTGAGAATTTTTTATGATTGTTTTATATTTGTAATTTTAATTTTATTATATTCATAAATAAAGTTAATAAACTTATCATTTCAAATTTTCTGAAAGTATAAATATATTATAAATAAAATATAATTAAATTATATAATCATATATATATATATGTTAATTTTGTAATTAATTTATAGAGTTAAAAAATTTTAAATCAATATATTCTAATATAAAAAGTTATCTTTTATATGGTTTTTTATTTTTTATCTGAAATCTATAAAGAATTTTTTCAGAAAGCAAATTTTAATAAACTTTTAATATTTAAAATATTTTTTCAATTATTATTTTTATCAATTTAATTTTGAACATTCCTAATTTTAACACATCAATTCATCATATTTAAGATATTCAATATTTATATATCCAATATGATATCAATAATAATGATTTTCCTACAAAAATATTCAGCTATATTTTTTAAGTAAATATTTTTAAATTTACATGGTAATTTCTTAATTACAGGAGTTGAATTCTTTTTAGTATTCAAGTTGAATTTTAAATCGATTAAGTGTTCACACGAGTATGAAACAATATTAAATTGGATAATCTATTTGATGATATTTATTGAGAATTAGTTTAAAGTTCGACTGTAAACATAAAAATATTAAATAATTTATAAGTAGAAAAGATGTATAATCTAATGTTTTAAAGTTAGATTGCAAGTGATATTATATTTTTTAATTTGTATTTTATTTACGAAAATCTTCTTATTAATCTTTAAAATTATTTATAAGTTAAAGTGAAAACTTATATAATACTTAATTTAAGGATAATCACATTATAAGTGCTATGTTGGAGTTATTTCAATATATATTTTTTATTTTCTTTTTATTTCGCCTTTTACCTCTTCCTACAAATAATACCAAACATCATAATAAAAATAGTTATTATGATGAGTAATTTCTACTGCTTTTCTTATTTCCGCTTTTTTTTCTATTTTTTTTTCAAATATTTCACACTAATTTCTGAACAAAATAAAAAAAATTATAAAAAAAATATAGTTACTAGTATAAATATAATACAACTAGATACCAAAATCAATAAAATCAATTCGTTGCTTTGGACTATCATAATATATTAGGTCGTGAAAACCTCCTAACTCCATATCCATTTAAAAAAATTCAAATATGATTAATATTGTAAGATATTTCAAACTTCTTTTTTTATCATTGTTTTTTAGAAAATATAAACTTAGTAATTTTAAATAAATAAAATTATAAATAAATAAAACTTTTTTTATTCTAAAATTATAAATATTTTAAAATGAATTTCATTTTGATATTGTTATTTTATTTAAGAAAAATAATAATTTCGTCTGAAAGAAATATAAGTTTTATAATAAATACAATATAATAAGAAAATAGAAATAAAGGGAAAACAATTATAAATTGATAAGATATTTAAAAAAATTAGACGTAGATAAATAATTATTACTTATTTTTACGAAACAAAATATAATATAATATTAGATGAAAATTGTATGGACACCTTTATTTATATAAATAACTTATTAATAATTTGATTTATTAATAAAATAATAATTTTTATTTTAATTAAATTATATGATGATTATGATATTAATAAAAAGAGTTATTTGTTGGATGTATTTTAGAATTGAGTTGTCCATTATAATAATATATATTATCATTATGTTATTACATCGGATTATGGGGTTTTTTTTTTTTGAAACCGTCTAAGTATATTTTCCCAAATTCGTAGTTCTTTATGCAAAAGGATCACAAAGCAGATAACGCTAAACGAAGAACATAAACTGGACGGTGGTTTTGCGGTGGTCATGGTTTCAAGAAGAAAACACGTAGTGGTGTTTAACCTTTTGGGGTCTAGGATTTAGAATGTAGACGATTATGACAGAAGAAAACATTCATAGCGTGAATCCTAGGTTGTCTGTCCTCCACTTGAAAAATGGTACACATCACTGCACCTGCACCTGCACCTGTGCCAACAGTACCAACCCACCACCTATTCTTCGACCAAAACCTTGATCTGAAAAACAACAACCCACGTACTTTACCTTCTCCCAACCATAAACTTGAGCTTCAACCGCCACTGCGCTACCCCAGTCACAGCTTAGCACATCCCCTTATTCCTCAAACAACAAATTTCACCAAGAGGAAGGAGATAGGGAAAAAGAAGAGAAAAAAGGCTACAACATCTGACATACTGTACTTGATGGACGCTCTGCCCTTTCCTATACCAATTGACATCTACACTTCTATGATAAAAGAATGCACTGTTTCCGGTGACCCAGAGACCGCCATTGAGTTGTACACTCACATTTCCAAGAGCGGTGTAAAACCCCCCTTGCCCTTCCTCAATCGGATTCTCATTATGTTTGTGTCCTGTGGTCTGTTGGAAAATGCACGCCAGATGTTTGACAAAATGCATCTGAGGGACTTCAACTCTTGGGCGACCTTATTTGTTGCGTACTATGATAATGCTGATTACGAAGCGGCTACGGCGGTTTTTGTTAACATGTTAGGCCAATTGGGTATGTCGCAATTTCCTCCGTGGATATGGGCTTGCCTTCTCAAGGCTTGTGCATGCACTTTGAATGTCTCTCTGGGAATGCAAGTTCATGGATGGTTGTTAAAGTTGGGTACTTGTGATCACGTGCTTCTGAGCAGCTCCTTGATAAACTTTTACGGGAGATTCACGTGTCTAGAAGATGCGAGTGCTGTCTTCAATGGGGTGTCGCGGCATAACACGCTGACTTGGACTGCTAAAATCGTTAGTGGTTGCAGGGAAAGACATTTCTCTGAGGTTTTTGGCGACTTCAGGGAGATGGGAACGCGAGGGGTGAAGAAGGACTGCTTCACGTTTTCTAGTGTTCTCAAGGCGTGTGGAAAGATGCTGAATCAGGAAAGATGTGGTGAACAAGTCCACAGTGATGGCATCAAACTTGGGTTGGTCTGGGATCACTATGTGCAGTGTAGTTTGATTGCCATGTATGGAAGATGTGGGTTGTTGAGAGAAGCAAAACAGGTGTTTGAGATGAGCCAAGAGGAGAGAAAGGTTGATTGTTGGAATGCTATGCTTATGGGTTACATCCAGAATGATTTGTACATTGAAGCTGTTAAGTTTCTGTATCATATGCAGGCAGCTGGAGTACAGCCGCGGGAATCTCTGCTTAAAAAATTAAGAATTGCTTGTGGAAGTATTACCTGCTCAAACATGAATTAACTGTACAACAAGATTTCATTGTATATTGACACTAAGAAAAACGTTGAATGGAAACCCCCCTCTTTTTCTTTTTAAAATTGCTTGAGAATTCAATGTCCTTAAGTTTTTTTACTCACTGTTTTTTTTAAGATACTACTAATAACATCTTAAAATACTGATAATATCTTGTACTTGGTGAATTTTAAAATTAAAAAAATTGTCAATATAAATGTTTTTTTCTCTAATTTTCATAAATTCATATAAACAGCATATTTATTAAAATAATACATTTTTTAATGCTCTAAGCTAAGAGGTCATGAACTGTATACATTAATAATGTAATAGTATTATAAATAATTATTTCTATCTATATTTATAAATAAGTTTCTTTTTGTCAATAATGATTTTTATTTCAAATATTTAACAATACATTCTTCTTATATCTTAATATAATAATATAATATTATTATTTGGAAATGTGGAATAAGTGTTTTGGATGTAAGAATATCTTCACTCTAATAAATAATAAATATTTTAAGTAAATCTTACACTACACTCCATACTAAAATTCCTTTTGAGATTCTTAGTATTAATGTTTAACTAGTTGGTTTAACTGGTGTGATAAAAAATGGTTTAGGAATTGATTTATTATTTTTGAATAATTAAATTTTAATTAAATTGGTGTAAAATTGATAAAATTAAAAAAAAATTGGATTTTTGATGGAATATTTTTTTATAAAAATATAATGTTTTTTTATTTTTTTCTTTATTTATCTCGTATTAATTATATCAATTTTAATAATAGTTATTTTATTATATTTTTATATTATTTTACTAATTATTTGTAAACGAGAAATATATATATATATATATATATATATATTACTAATATATATTTTTATATCAATCTTACACTTTTTAATGTATTTTATAACTTACGGTAATTTTTATTATTATTTTTTAAAATTTTGTTTGTTACTTACTTATTATATTATAAAAATATTATTTTATTAAATTTGGTTAAATTTTAATTAAAACTTAAAACTTTGAACACAAGTTTTTACTAATTTAATTTAAAAATAATACTTAATATGTTTGACATCTAACATTAATTTTTATTATAATAAATTATCAGATTAATTTCGACTTTGATTAAAAATTAAAAAATTATTAATGTTTTTAAATCTAAATAATTAATTAGAAAGTATTTTAAAATATAATAATTTAATATATAAGTTAAAAAAATTATTTACTCTTATTTGAGAGTAAAAACTTACTTTGCGTAATAATTATTATTTGTTAGTAATAAAATATATCTAAAATAATAATTTATTTTATATTATATATATATATATATATATATATATATATATATAAACAAAGAGAAATAGAAAAAAAAAATTAATAATATTTTATCAAAAAGTCCAAATGATAAAAAACATAGAATATTTGAAAAAAAAAGTTTTAATTAAATTAAAGAAAAATCAATCTTCACATAAAAGCAGACTTGAATTGATGAAAAAAAAAAGTGACAATATATGTGTCAAATAATAATATAAGGGATAAATTTTAGTGTTTATAGATAAGTTTTTCTTTATCCATTTGCAAGTTAAATTGGGAGGCTTGTACGTGGGTTTGGGCTTTTGCATGAGTTTTGAACGAAAAAAGTTAATATTAATGTATTAGGTATTTTTGTGAGCAGAAATTGATTTTTTTTGTAAATTTAAGAATTTTTAGGATTTTTTATTAGGAGGCAATGAAATTGAGGTAAAAGAAACTCAATTTAAATTCTTTATTACTTAAGATACATGATTTAAATGTCAAAAAGTTGGTCACTCATTAATTTTACAGAAATTCTTCTGAGGGTGTTTTATAAACCTTAGTTTAAGTTTGGTGCGGTATTATTATTGAATTGATTTGAATATGTTGTTATAATAATTGATTATTGTATGTATATAATTTTGAAATAAAGTAATTAATAAGATTAGTTCAATTACTCTAGAATAAGGGATAAAAATCATAAGGATATGTTTTGAAGTGAATCGAGGTATATATATAAATTGATATAACTGTATTTAAGTGGGTTATGCTCATTTAAGCCAAAACGAGGTAAGAAAAGTTCAAATATAGTAATTTCATTCAAATAAAAATGAGACAAAGAGTTAAGATTCAAATATAAAAGTTTTTATGAAGTTCAAGTTTCAAAGATTTTAACTCAAACAAAAATCAATCTATGAAGAAACTTTTTGGGGATTGTTAACTGTCATTTTTCTAGTTAACACTATGTTTAAACTGTATTATATTTTATCTAATATTCTTAATGATGTTATAATTATAATTTATTTGATGTATTTTAATAAGATGATTGACTGAGTATAGTAATTATCATAAAGGTAATATTGTATGATATTGTGTTGTGATGCATTGAATTAAAGATTTATTAAGAGATTTTCTGACTATAATGAACATGAACTTACATTATAAGAAAATACAAAGTGACGAGAGTGCATGAAAATTTTGTACCTAGTCACTAATGTAAACTTCCGTACTTTTGCATCAAAGAATAATCTAATTATTAATTTTGGTTGAGTGGTGTAACTGGATGGAAAGTGGCTGATAGCTGGATAAATTGATACACTAGAAAAGATATTAAAAGAAAGTGAATCAAGTGTTGATAAATGGGGAAGCGTAAGGTGGAAACCCTGGTACCAAATGATATAAGAAGGCTTGGAGGAGAGCACGAAGAATGTTGCTCCTAATGGATTTTTTATCTTTAGAAAAGATGGTTTGATCCCGGTTTAGTTATAGAAGGTAAAGAAATATTCTTGAGTGAAGTTCTTAGAGGTATTTTGGTTAAATCTTGAGACGAGTTTCTTACACGTTAGAACTTGCGAGGGACCACGTGAATGATTAAGTAAGTAATTTGTATTCCACCATTACATGCGATGGCTTTCTTTTTTAAGCAAAAAGAAAATCAGACGATGTGTTTCTCGAATTTGCTTGCGTATGGTTTTAGTATCTCGTGTGTACTTCGTAACTAGCTAAATCAATCTCACCTCATTCGAGATCATGCTCGGTGTAGTGTTTTGGTTAAAGAAAGCGAAAAAAGAGAACTTGAAAGGAAAATGCTTCTATTACTCAAACTCTCTCAAAGCTTTGATGATTTGCAAATGAGGGGACCTCCTCTGTTTACAGGCACCACCTCCTCTATATATTTATATTGTACGATGAAATATATATTTAATTTTTTTTTATAAAATTTACGTAAATTTTAAAACAATCTGCAAGTTATTTTATAGGTAGGCATCTCTTTAATAACAAAACAGATACAAATAAAACTTCTTATTTCTAATCAAACTAATTACACTCACAACTGTTGTCATCAATCTCTACTGAAACTTCATATCCTTAATTATGTGGTAAAAAGTAAGGACTTTTTGGTCAACTGATACCAAAAATCAATAAATTCTTCTTTTGAATTGTTGTTTCATAGACACTAAATCATTAGTTTTTTTTTATACCTCGCAATTAAGATGTTTAAAATCGTATCAATTTAAAAAAAATTAAAATTAATTATTATGTTTTTTAGTTTTTCAAACAGATAATGTAAATTTAATTTTTAATTTAATAATTAACAATAAATTAAAACTAAATCAAACTAAAATTAATATGTATATATATATTATTAAAATATAAATAAAAAATTATTAAGTCAATTAATTTTTTATAATTGTAAAAATACATAAAAAGTAAATTAAAATGATAAATATTATAATTAATTATATATTATTTATTAAATAATTATTTCATTATAATATATTTAATAATTTTATAAAAAAACCAGTCAAATAAAACCTAAAAATATTAGTTTAATTTGATTTATTTTATAAAATAAAATCAAACTAAATTGTCCCACATTTGAATCTTATGTTTAACTCTGGTGATTTTTTTGGTACAGAATCGAAACAAACTATATGAAGACTCTTAACACTAAACTACCAACAATATTATTAATGGATTTTAAAAAAATGTAACTTAGAATTTTAAATTCTATAATAGTAATATTTTTTTACCATATTATGAGATAATTAAAAAAAATATAGGTTAACACTCTAAATTCTTTAGTAGTAATATTTTTTTATCCTATTACAAAGTAGTAAAACTTAAAACTTAATTAGATCTTAATGTTCTATATCATATCGAGATAAGATATAAATATTCAATAATTAGTGGTATATTCTAATAACCATAACATTATAATGTAATTCTAACATAATTAAAATTAGTTATAATGTTATTAGAAATATAAAAATATCTATTAAAATATCCTAAATTAACTTCCTATTAACCTATCCGATTTCTGTTCATATATGTTTCGAGAACCACTCAAGTTGGGAGAGATATTTTGTTTGTGTCTAAACTGAAATTAATATCTACGAAAATCTGGTTTCGGAAAATGATGGGTAGATATCGATTTGATTTTGTGTGGACGATCCTATACTGCATTAATTATTGATTGATTCCATATATCATTCATTTGCCACACATTTGGATTCACCTCTTCATCACTCATTTCATCTTATTATTTTACTTCAAATTTCATTCTCATTAATTTGGATTTTTAAAAATATAATTATAACTTAATAGATTTTATTCTCCAACTCACCTCAAGATTGATATTTTTTTTATTCATTTCAAATTATACCTTTGTTTAAATATATTTTTAGTTCTTATAAATAAACAAATTTTAGTTTTTATTCTCTTTATTATTTTTGTCTTTTAAATTCTTAAATAATTACTTTTTACATCTGTAAACCGTAGAAATTAATTTTAGTTAGATCAGTATTTTTTTTCTCTAACATTAAGTTGAAACTATTAACTTTAATTAATACTCCTTCATTTGATTATTTAATGATGAAATTTAATCTTATGCCAATAAATTAAGCTAACTTAATCTTATTTGATACATCATATCTAACTTTAATTCAAACATAGTGTTAGATGTATACGAGTGGTGTTTTCTGTCTTTTGTAACTATAATTAGATGGATTATAAATATTTTAAATGTAATCTAATATCTATGAAATTTATTTAAAGAAACTAAAGTAAACATGTATAAAAGAATATGATCCATCTTTAATTTAAAATTTTAAGTTAATAAATTAAAAGAACTTAACATTAATTAATTTTAGGTAAAGTGATTAAAATATATAAATCATACCTAAATAATTGATATATAATTATTACAAATAAGCACACACACACACATATATATATGATGTTTTTAAGCCGTATTATTGTTTTTAGTATTTTACTAATTTCACTGTCGATAAATCTATAATCAATAAATAATTATATGCAATGTTATCAAATTTAACTAAACTTAAAATTACCGTATATGATAATAACTGGGTTGATTTTTTTTGTAATCGCTTCAAGATAGCATACTTAAAAGAATTTAAAATATGGATAAGGATTCTCTAAAGTGAGCATTTTCACATTTCCGGTAAAGTGATTTTGTTTCATAGCTGTTTAGATTAATTTATAATTGTTTTTAATAAAATAAAATAAAATAAAAATCCTCCATACTTTATTTTATCAATCTTCTCCTTAAAAAAAACAGAGCGTAAGAATGTATACCAGATTGCTTTTGCTGCAACCACACGCCACGAAGGTTTTGAATTGAAAAATATGGTCTCGTTTAAAAGATGGTCTAGCAAATAAGTCTCTGGTTATAAAGTTAACAGTAGCAGTATTTCAGTACGTTAACTTAATTTTTCTTATTAGCTCAATTAAAAAATGTCCCACCCCACAATCTTAATTTAGAACAACGTTTATGAGAGAACCCTAATGCGATGCCTTAAGCAACATAACACTAAATTGTACCATTCTATAAAATTGTTTCAAACAATCACAGTATGCATACGCGGTCGTTTTTGCCCTATTTTTTTGGGTAATGGAATGGATGGAGAGTAGTAATGGCAAGATGATATTTTTTATTTTATTTTTATAATTTAAAATATAAATTAAACTAAGAAAGGACACTTCAGAATATTGTAGTCTTGGTAAATGGTAACATTACCAAATTCGATCATGAAAGCTCTTAAATATCAAAGTCTTTTTTTAATTTAAAAAAATAAAAAATAAGGAGGGATATATCTTTTGTCCCAAAAAGGAAGGTTTGTGCGGTGGCAAGTGCTTGCTTTTATACATATATAAAAAGACAAGTCCTCACACGATAAGTATCATTGAAGAAGTTATTTTCTCTTCAGTCTAGTTACTAGCCAGAGACACAGCAGCACAATGGTCCCCAAACCCATCATAGTCACAGCACCACCGGTGTCTTCTCCACCCAACCCTCTCCTAAAAAACGCAGTATCAACAGTCAAAACAGAAGAAAAACCCACTCCCACCACTCCAAAAACCAACCCAGTCCCATCCATCAAAACGACGCCGCAGCAGCGCGTGGAAATAAAAAGGAAAACCAATTCATGGGTTCCAACGCTAATGCTCAACGCGTTCGACAACATCATCAACAACTTCATAGACCCTCCGCTCAAACCCTCCGTAGACCCCAGACACGTCCTGTCGCAAAACTTCGCCCCCGTCGACGAACTCCCTCCGACCGAGTGCGAGGTCGTCGAGGGCTCCCTCCCACCATGCCTCGACGGCGCGTACATCCGAAACGGCCCCAACCCCCAGTTCCTCCCGCGTGGGCCCTACCACCTCTTCGACGGCGACGGCATGCTCCACGCGCTCCGCATCTCCCAAGGCAAACCCACCCTCTGCAGCCGCTACGTCAAAACCTATAAATACACAATGGAAAACGACGCCGGTTTCCCTCTCATCCCCAACGTCTTCTCCGGCTTCAACTCCCTCGCGGCCTCCGCGGCGCGGGGCTCTCTCACTGCGGCGAGGGTCTTCACGGGACAGTTCGATCCCTCTAATGGAATTGGGTTGGCCAACACCAGCTTAGCCTTCTTCGGTAACCGTCTCTTTGCGCTAGGCGAATCCGACCTCCCCTACGCCGTCAACGTTACCCCTAACGGCGATGTCGAAACAATCGGCCGTTACGACTTTAATGGCAAACTTACCTTCAGCATGACGGCGCATCCGAAGATAGACCCCAACACAGGGGAATGCTTTGCCTTTCGTTACGGCCCCGTTCCCCCATTTCTCACCTATTTCCGTTTTGATCCTAACGGTAACAAATACGACGACGTGCCCGTTTTCTCGATGGTATCACCTTCGTTCCTCCACGACTTCGCCATCACCAAGAACTATGCAATCTTCTGCGACATTCAGCTCGGAATGAACCCTCTCGACATCATCGCCGGTGGCTCCCCCGTCGGCTCCGTCGCTTCCAAGGTCCCAAGGATTGGAATCCTTCCTCGGTAAGTATATTATATGCGCTACACACACAAAATTATTTTCCAGGTGGACGATTCTTTAACCAGAATTTCAGTTCGTGTTAGTAATTCACCTAATCAACGTTTGCATGCAATTTATCGAAATTTAATTCTGATCACATATATAACAGTACTTAAAAATACTGAAACCAAAAACCCTATTCAATTATATGTTAATTATCATTATTACTGATTTAATTATTATTATTATTATTATTATTATTATTACTGTAGTGATGCTAAGGATGAATCGATGATGAAGTGGTTCGAGGTGCCGGGGTTTAACATCATTCACGCAATAAACGCGTGGGAGGAGGACGAGGGAAGAACGGTGGTGCTTGTGGCGCCGAATATTCTGTCGGTGGAGCATGTAATGGAGAGAATGGAGCTGATTCACGCGATGGTGGAGAAGGTGAGGATCGATCTGGAGACGGGGATTGTGACGCGGCAACCGGTGTCGGCGCGGAACCTTGATTTCGGGGTTATAAACCCTGCGTTCGTTGGGAAGAAGAACAGTTTTGTTTACGCGGCGGTGGGAGATCCCATGCCGAAGATCTCGGGGGTGGTGAAGCTGGACGTGTCGAAGGGGGATGAGCGGAGGGACTGTACGGTGGGTTGCCGGATGTTTGGCGAGGGGTGCTACGGCGGGGAACCCTTCTTCGTGGCGAAAGAGGAAGGGGGCGAGGAGGACGATGGGTACTTGGTGACGTACGTGCACGACGAGAGGAAGGGAGAATCGAGGTTCTTGGTGATGGACGCGAAATCGCCGGAGTTGGACGTGGTGGCGGCGGTGAGGCTCCCGCGGCGGGTTCCGTACGGCTTTCATGGATTGTTTGTGAAGGAAAGTAAGCTGAGGAAGGTGGTGTCGTTGTAGTAAGACACAACACGACGACAACGACGACGATGATTGTTGTGTGGGGCTTGTGTACGTGTAGCCCTCACGCTATCCATTATACTCGTGTCAAGTAGCATAGCACCATTATAATCGCTTCTCAACATTGTTCATTTTTTCTGTGTAATTATTACCTGTAGAATCCATCAATCGTGAACAAGTAAATTAATAAAACACTTGTATTTCTCACTACTCCAGCTATTTTTACAATTTCTTTTTTCTCTTTAACCAGTTTTCGATTCATTAAAATTTAAAAATAATACAAATGTTTCAGCCTAAAACAAAAAAAAATCTGTAAATTTGTAAGAATACTTTTCTTCCTGTCAGATTCGTTCAACTCCACTATCCTCGGTAAAAATATATATATATATATATATATATATATATATATATATTTTGTATTTAAATATTAAAATTCATTATTTTTAATTAGAATTTGTAAAAAAGAAAAATCAAAATCCAGTGAAAAGATAGTGTAGATATTCACTGGTTAGTGAGAGTTGTTTACGGAAAAAACAGAGTAATGTAGGTGTAGAGTCATCATATGTGACAATCGGATAATCTTCAATAAGGTTATTTATTATTTAATTAAAATATTAAATAATATGATAAGTAATTTAAAATATCTGATTAATTACTCAATATATAAAAATAATAAAATAAAAAATTATTTTTAAAAGTTTTTATTAAAATAAATTTAATTATAAAATATATAAATATGATATAATTTAATAAATTTATATTTTATATTTTTATTATATGAATTGTTTCATTATTGATCAGGCGGTTCCCAGCAGAGATGACATGACAGCACATCACATCAGGTGGTAGGGATTCTGCATCTGCCATGTGGGCTCCATCTGTCATCCATAAATTCAACGTGAAAAATGCAAAGTAATTCTTTTGTTTCGGACAACCAAAAAATTACAATAATCAACCAATCTTGTATTGCCTATTTACTATAGATATACAAAATTTAAGAAAAAAATTCTATTTAGTGGCAAATTAATATATATAAATATATAAGAAAAATAATTGGTATTAATTTTTCCATTTTATCTTTCTAATTTTTTATAGTACAATGAAAAGTTACATAGTATTCTAAATTATGAAATATGTATAAAACAATTATAGTTTATAAAAATAATGGTAATTTAGATATTTGAACCGTAATATTATATATTTTTATTTTGTAAAAGTTTGTATATTTCTTGAATAAAAATATTATATATATTTTTAATCCCTCAAATAAATATGTTTTGATTTTTGTCCATGCAAAAAAATCTCTTTATCTTTAGTTTTATTATGTATAAAATATGTATTATTTATTCATCCTAGAACATAGATGTTATAGACTAAAATTAGCAATTTTAGATTAAAAAAAAACGAAAATGAAAATAAAACTAAAAAAAAAGTAATTATTTTATAAAGACTAAAAATAATTATTTCAAAATTTGCAATGGTGAAAAATAAAAAAAAATACTAAAATCAAGATTTGTTATTTTACATGGACTAAATATTGAATCTAAAATATTATATATTCTTTCTTTCGATCCCATAAATATTTTTGTTGGATTCGTCACTGCCTGATGATAAAATTGCATATATATTTGGCAGTGTTAAATAAATAGTATAAAATTAAAAAATAGTGCTTATATTTTAACATAATATATTTGAATTTATTAAATGAATTTATTTCATAATTTCAATTGATTTTCTAAGTCATCAACCACCTATGACACAGTAGACATTCATCTATTTATTTGGAGTAATGGCAGTTAATAAGCCTGCAACTTCAAAACAAAATCATATGAACTTTAATTTTCAATGGATAAACTAGAGATCTTATTGCAATCTCGACCGCTTTCAACATATTTTTTTATATGCAACAGCAAATTTTATAATTTAGTACAAGGTTCTAATATATGCAACAATAACAAATGTAATGGCTTTTAAAAATGAAATTTATTTATAGGGCTAATAAAAATTAGAATATATCTGACAAATAAAAAAAAGTAAAGCTATAATAACACACACAAAAAAAGCCAAGTTTTAGCATTATGTTTATTTTCTGTAAAAAAGAAGGCATTATGTCAATTTCGCAGGCCAAGTTTAGGCATTATGTTTTGTTATTAAGTCAAGTCTAAACTTTATATAAACTAATCAAACTAGAACATCATAATTTAAACTTAATTCAACTTGTTTAAACTTTAAACACCTATCAAATAGAATGACAGTCATTTTTTGTGAGGATAAAACTTCGGTGCAATAATATGATCATTTGGTGAGAACAAAACTTGAATGTAATACCATAAACCCTTTATTTTTCTCCAATCAGGATCAGAAATGATTTCATTAAAGGCTCAATTCCAAATCTAATATGAAAATAGCTTTAATAGCACCAGAGATACTTGCATCTAAGCTTTTCCTTTTTTTGTGAAGCTAGTCAGTAACTTGCAAAGTTGCAACATGTGAAGTCAATTCAGTAGCTTATTTGTACAAGTGGGTGAGGATTGTTCTCTGTTACAACTTCAACGTGATGTTCATCTTTTCAAACTGATTGTACAAGTCATCAATCACGACCTATGAAACAAGAGACTCACTGTTGTAATAACAGTACCGAGTCTAAAGAATGGTACAGGAACAGTCACAAAATCAACAGATCAGGGCAAACTTATGAAACAAATCCTTTGTTGTGATTGTTAGTCTATATGCTTGACTTATCTTCCGAAGGCTTAAGTGCAGCAATTAAACAGAACCGCTGAGGCAGAACTTGGAGACATCAAGAAGCCAGGAGAGTTTGTATAGCTGAGGCAACCACCTAGAATAAGAGTGTTAGTTTGCTGAACAACTAGTGGAAATCCAGTTTAGAAGTGATGTCCAGGAGAATCAAATTCAAATGGAACCAATTGATCTGGCTGCACCTTTAGCTACAGTTATCCCCATGACAAAATCCTCTGAAATGCTAGGACAGATATAAATCTTTTACAATTTACAGTTTAAGGGAAAAAATAAACAATAGAATAACTATCAGATATCCCTTTATCAAGTAGAACCATCTTTACTGATGACAGTAGAATGACTAGATGTTGAGACTCAATGGCCAGAATAAAAATAAAAATAAAATCTTGGGCACTGCAATTTTATTGGCCTACAACTCATAATCAACCATCCATGACATTTGTTGCTATGTACAAGGCAGTCTAAATTTGACAAACTTGGGGAAAATGTGTGGAAATCTTTAATTAAATACATGGAAAAAGATGCATTTGTTTTACTATTACAGATGTTAGTATGTTACAGAGAATCCCATGGAAAATTTGATACAGCACAATCAAAGAAAACATCGATTTATTAAAAGTATGTAATTTTAGAAAAATTATAAAGTTAATCATATCATACCAATGTTATCAGAAGATGATGGCCTAAACCTTGACCAGATGAACTTCAGCCAATGAGGAATTGAGGTCCTCTCGAGACTGTGATCGCCTACTCTGCAGATGCATCTGACTTCTGTGGGGGGACCAGAGAGCACCCATGTTGCCACTGTCAAACTGCATCTGCCCTAAACTGTTTGAGGAATAACTATGTGAGATGTTACTAGCTAATGTGTATGATGAAGACTCCATAAGCTCGATGCCACCACCGATGTCTTCAAGACCATGCCCTAGACCAAACGGACTTTTATGTGAACCTTCAATTTTAGGGCTGAGTGGCATCTTTAACCTTCCATCCCCTGCAGTATCATAGGTGTAAATTAGAATTTAGGGGCTGAGTTCAAGTACGGGATGAATTGAACATTGAAAATATTTCTTTAAACCAAGATAGAATATTTTTCAAATTAGAGTTTTATATTAAGGATGCTATTTTTAGTTTTCTTTAACATCCAAGAAAGATGCAAGAATGATACAAGTCAAGTTAATATGCATGAGATAAGGTGAGAAGAAGAACACAAAAAATTATACTAGTTCACTCTCCTAAGATAGCTACATCCAGTTGCTAAATCACTTTGATTAAGCTAATCCACTAACTCTTCAAGTTTTAAAAGAAAACCCTTCAAGAAAACAAGATTACAACACACAACCAAGATCTTGTGCCCCACAATATTTAAGCACTACACTTGTGAGACCCTATCACAAGTACCAACTTGATCACCCTGATCAAGTACAAACATAAAGAACAAACAGTCAAAGAAAAAGAAAATGGAACAGAATCATCCGAACAAGTGCAGCACAAAACATGAACTAGAGAAGATGAGGTGATCTCTAATGTAATGTGCTCAATCTATGCTCTTGAACTTTAAATCAAGTAGAACAATCTTTTGAAATGTTTTTCACTCTTGCAAAGTTATTCTCAAAGTTTGGTAAAGTTTCAGAACTTTTGGAATTGTTTACATAAAGAATTCAAAGAGAATAGCTAGCATATATGCTGTATTTTTCATGGATTAAAATGTGTTTTAACTCACTAAAATAGGTTATAGTAAAATGGAGTAACTTTTTAGTCTGTTAAAACATGTTTCTAATCTTTTAAATCAATAAAGTCAAGTCTTTCTAATCTTTTTAATCTGCTAAAACATGTTTCTAATATTCTTCTTTCACAATCCACCAATATGAATTAACAGAGCATTTGTAATATATTTACAATAACTCAAACTCATATAGGCAAGATAAACGATTAAAAACTCACTTACAACGATGAGAATCAACCCTTGCATCATCAACAAAGAGGTTAGAATCATCAAATCTACAAGCTTCATACTTCAAATACAATTTAGTTCAAAATTGAATTATAAGGCCAATTCTAAAATTAATTTCACTTGAATTTTACACAGAAGTCATTAGCCATTTCAAGGAGCATCTTGGTCATGGTTTAGAAAATAGTGCACGAACACATAAATAATCCACATAATGAAAAATTGAGTACATACTACATGCACATTTGTGACAACTTTGACAATTGATGAAAACATGGCCAAAACAAATTCACGGGGCATCCAAGTTATACAAATGGACGTTGGTCATTATACCACACTTGATAGTATAAACTAAAAGGACAGCCAAAACAGACTTCCTTCTGTGCTCCTTACAAAATTTAAATAAAACAGCTAATCTATTAACTTTTCAAATTAGTAGCAATCATCATTTGCATAAACAAATAGTTTACCAGATTTCATTGGACTCCAATGACGGAACCGAAAAGGAGATGGTATGTTAAGAACAGAAGCACCAGAACCACTGTTATGCCTGGAAATCGGAAGATATTGCCTCCGGAAAAACCTTGGCATCCATTTGCAAACACATGACAAAGCACAAAGAAGTAGAATAAAGGAAAGCAACAAAATGGGCAAAAGAGCAAGAGGATTTATCTTCATCTGGAAAAGCTCCAAGTCATGAAGCCCAAATCTAGTGGAAAATGCCTTTCCAGCTTCCAACAAGGCAACCCCAAGTGTCCAAGTGATACTTCCAGAACCAACAGTTATCTGGTTATCATTAATGTGCAAACCCTCCCTCAGCAGAGAGGCAATGTAAGGTGCCCTAAAGCAATACTGCTCTATAAAGGGTTGGGGAGCAACACTTCTCTTTGCAACATCCCATATCATTCCACAGAAACCCTTACCCTTTGCCAACACATCATCAAGCGTAGCCTCAGAAGTCAAGTTGAAAAACCTATACACAACATAAAATCCAGAAATCACATAAAAATGTCCATAGGGGCGAGGCAGATTGTCTGGCAATGCACAAGGCTGCGCTCCACAATCAAGGCCAGTGCCACGATCAGACCATTCAGACAAATTCACAGCAATTTTCGCTAGTGCACTGCACTCCTTCCAATCAGGAGCACCAACAAGCACTAATGGAGTCCCCAACCCTCTATCCCCACTTTTGTTATTAGACGAACAACGAGAACAAAAGTATTCATTCTTGTATCCATCATGTAAGCAAGGATGTTTCAACTCAATATTTTCACTGCTACTTACTTCAACATTACCCAAACCAATCTCTTTCCTATATAGATACTCCACAGACTTACCAAATGCCTCATTAAGACCGTACCTCGCGAGGGAATACGCAGTGAGATGATGGCTAACAGATCCAATCCTAACATACAAACTAGTCTCATTATTCATCTGTTGATCACTCTCAAACGTGACCTGCAAGGAAGAACCACCCAAGTCAAGTGCCCCATATGTAGCCTTCCTAGGCCTAACCCCCAAAATGCCATTATCATAATTAAGAGCAATCCACCCAAAATAAGCCTCCTCGGGGCCAGAGATAATCTTAACCCAATCCCTCTCACACACAAAGGGAGAGTTTTTAAGCACAGACCAAGCATTATCTAACAGCCAAGTAGAATCAATAACCGGAAGCCTCCTCACCCCAGCAGTGGCATAAAGAAACAACGAAGTAGACTTATGAGCATGAACTGGAATCTGCTTCTTGGCCCACCTAAGCAACGGCTTCAACGCATTGTTCAACCCAGACACGTTGTGCACTAGTTTATCAATTCCAGGTTCGGTTTCCATTCGATCATAGGCACGACCACTAGGCTTCTTGTGCACGCTACCCCTCAAGGATTTAACAGCAATTGGAAGATTGCTTTGGCTTTGGAACCGAACGGAAGCGTGGTAGACATAAACGCGCGTGCCGGTGCTACCGCAATCGAGTACAACGTAGTACTTGCCGGAACCGTGGTTCCAATAGGAGTAAAGAAGGAAGAAGAAGAGGTAGATTAGGAGGAGGAAGGAGGCGAGGAACAGTGCGAGTTTGAGGCATTTGTGGCGCGAGGAAGAGGAGAGTGGTGGGGGCTTGTAAAGGGGTTGCGTGGAGTCGAGGTGGCGGTACGATGAGAGATCCTGGAGAGAGGAAGAGACTCGGAGGTTGTTGGGGAGAGGAAGGTAAGAGTTTGAATTTGCGAATTTGGTGGAGACAACTGAAGCGATTTTAGCAAAGACCATGTCTTTTTGCGATTGAGGGAATACCCAGAAGGATTGGAGAAGTGGGGTTAGGAGGGGGAAGAGGAAAGCATGGCATTTCGGGAGTGAGATTTCAGGGAGAAGAAGGGTTTGGGTTGAAGGGCATTTTTGAGAGATGGATGGATCAGGTTCTGGTGGAATCTAACAACGACTAGAGACTAGAGAGCAAAGACTGGGAAAGAAACAAAAGAAAAAGAATGTGATTGGGTTGCGTCGTCTTCTTCATCCATGGGAATTAAGGAGTTGTTTTTATTCAGAAGCTAAACTTGGACAACGCACACCGTTTACAAACAGTGACAAGGATGAAGTTTGTTTGTCTGTGTATTACATGCCTCATGTAAGAGAATGGAGATGGTCACATGAATTATTAAAAGAGAAAATTTTAATTAAAATATGAAAAAATAAGTTTTTTTTTTTTTTTTTTTTTTAGTTTTAATGTATAAATAACAACTTTTTTGGTGGATAACTTTTTTCTTGGATACACTAATCCACGAAAAATATTATTTTAGATTTAAATATAAATACAATTAACGAACTTTTATGTTAATTAAGAAAATGAGTTAATGTTATTTAAATTTATTAGACGCGTTTAATTTTTTAAAAATGTTTTTATTCAAACTTGTAATTTAAATTTAAAAAATGCATTACTAAACATAGAGTCTATTAAATAAAAAATTAGAAAAATTCATTAGAAGCTTAATATTAAGGTAATTGAAGAATATGTCTGGATCATAAATTGATGATAATTTTTTATATATATTAAATGATATTTTAACTATAATGCATGCACAAGTACCTCTTAAATTAAAAAAAATCTTAGAATTTTAACATTAGTTAAAAAAATATATTAATTAAATATCTTAGAACGTTGATTATGTAAATTACAAAGAAAAACGACTTACACCATAAGACATACTCATCTTCACACCGTTAATAGTCATGTTTCAACGTGCTGTTTCACCAAACGTAATTATATTTACATAATACTTGAATTATTTGGTCAATTTTTATAAAAAATAAATAATAATAACAATAACAATAATAATAATAATAATCAAAATATTCTTATTCTTTTTGTTTATACAGTATATATTACATTAATATAAATAAAATATCAAATAACTTTATATCCATACCAATTTTGCATAGTTTATACAATATGAATTAGTAAAAAGATAATAGTGAGTATATATAAGCTTTTTGGAAAAAAAAAAAAGTCTCCAAAAACTAACATGATCAATGCTTATAGTAATTCTTACGAGTCATGGTGAGATTCGACTTTCAATTTTTCAAGAGAAAATTTAGAAATTTAGTTGGGTGGTATTTGAATTTGGAATTTTCAAAATATTATTGGTGGTATGCTTAAATTAAAATGGAACTGTTTGTATATTATAGTATATAGATATTACCTCCATTAATTTAAAGTTACTTTTTTTATATATACACTGCGAGAACATAAATCTTTAGAATGTGTCTTTTTATGCAGACAGTTAAGAATTAAACCCTTAATGAATGTACTTAGAAAATTTTAAGTATATGCCAAAAAATGTTTAGAACTTAGGTGGATTGCGAATTCAAAGTTGCTTAAAGTCAAAAGCCTAGTATAGAGCTGGATATTATGATGACCCCTGGGCAAACAGAAACTGCAGAATAGAGTATTATATATTTCTACAAATAGCAGTAACCGTCTGTTATTATCAGTATCGTTTGTTGAAGACAGAAATGAGCATAATACAATGTGAGAAAAAGAAGGATATGAGAGGGAAAAACAGAAAAGGAAGAGAATATTTGCCTAATGACATCCACACATTTTGTCCCTCTCATTTTCAGTAACATACACTCCCCACTCTCTCCCACAACCCTAATGACATTTTCCTACTTCTGTTATTGTGCCTAATAGACTTACTCAAGAATCATTCACTCAAATGCCACGTGTACATCATGTGACTCAATCCTTTTGCTGCAATATATAACGCAACCTAAAGAAATCTGACAGTGAAAAAATTTATGAAAAAAAATAGGCTCTATGTCACCTTTCTTTGGGGTTGATGTTAGATTAATAAAAGGGGTATTTCAGTTCCAGGAAGAGAATGAGAATTTCCCATTTCAAAATTGCTCTCCAAATTCAGATACAAAACATTGAATTTCAAAATTCAAATATAAAATGAGAACATTGACAGTTTGTCCCGAAATACATGGACTTTATCAAATGCATGAATTGTGAATCACGAGACCAATTTTTACAATTGACTGGCACTTACTAACTAATTTCCTTAATCTGATAATGCTTTTGGGGAAGCGGTGGAGGACCCCGAAAATGGGTGACCTTTCTGGAGTGGACTTCTGTCGTGAACAAGTGGTTCAGAGACCCAAGAGGCATGAGCAGCAACTCCACCTCCAAGATTTGCTTGTTTTTCTTTAAAAGATGCCCAAGTAACCAAATATAGACCAGTAATGATAAAAGATCCTCCTATGATGCTGCGACACATTCATGTTAGAACAGAATAATAAGAAACTTCTAAATTACTTTCAATTTGTCATGCTAAAGAAAGAGGAGGAACTACTAGTTAGAACAGAATGCATCAACAACTGGCAATAAAAGGAGCTTTACCTTCCCAAGTAAATTGGACTTCCAAGGAAAATTTGTGACAGGATGGCTGAAAACGCAGGTTGAAGCGGATTGTAAATGGAAACCATGGCTGGCCCCAAGATTTTGTTGCACCATGTAATGAGTCCATAGTTAAGTGCAGATGCAACAGTTCCCTGAACAAATAAGGAAATATATTTGTCAAGATCTTCATGCTAAAAAATCTACCAAAATAATGTATTATAAGATAATCTATCAAAATATTTGTAAGACACATGGGATATCAAAATACCCTCATTGCACTCTACTTCACTAGTTTTCACGCCCCTAAATACAATTTTCAATAAAATCCTCGTTTTGTCCTCCATTTAAAAATATTGCTTCACCAGAAAGAGTAAATCGCTGAACTAACAGCAAAATCCATCTTACTCTCAACTATTGCTGCCCCTAGGTAAAAACAGTGGTGTGGTTTCTGATGGTAAGATGATAGGTACTTGAGTATTATAGGGTACAAAAGTTTCACATTAGGTAGTGTGGATACTCGATACTCCCCCCTTATTAGTTAGTTTTTAAGAGAAGGTTCCTCAACTTTTTGAGTGCTTATTGATTAGTAATAGAGCTTTTCACCATGTTTCTTAGCAGGAAACTTGTTGTGAATAAAACTAGTTCTAGGAATAATTGCACTTGAAGAACTAGAACAGAAATAGGGAACCCAAAGACAAGAAAGGTTCCGAGAAATGTGTATTAAGAAGAAGGTGTTAGAATTAATTTAATTAATTCATTCCATTATGTGACTCATGTGAAATATAATAATGGGCCCAAATGTGATTTAATAAAATATGAGGACCTATTGGTTATTATGTGAAGTCAGAATAAAATAAAGATAAAATAAAATATTAACTTACGGTAACCAACTTGATGGACGTTGGTTAATAAAAGGGATTAAGGTTCTGTCTCTGGCCATAAGGTTTTTTCACGGTAAACCATCAAGAAAGCGAAGCGTGAGAAGAGAAAGAAAGACAAAGAGATAGATTGGGAAAAGGAGATAGGAGAACGAAAAGATCAAAGAAAAAAATTCTCATGGATCAAGGTTAGTCTTCTTACTATGATTCATGTATTGATATATGTAAAATTGTGAAAATCAATAATCTAAAGATCCTGTAGAGTAGTTTTCTATAATGAATTAAGAACGTAGGAAAACTACATAGTGTTTTACATGTGGTATCAGAGCACAGGTTATTAGATTTATGATTTTCCTTTTATGAAAGTTTTTCCTAAATTATGTTTTTCTCAAATTAGGATAAACCCTAATTATGAATTTAGGAATTTTTATCAGATTAATGTGAACCCTAATTATTCCCAAATTTATTTTTTCCCAAAATTGAATAAATAGATAAGCCCTAATTTATAGATAAGGCTGTATTTAATTTCAAATTGAAATCAATTTGATAATTTATGTGTTTCCATGATTATTTTAGTTGAAAAGAAAAATGTAGGCGCATTTACTGTTTGGCTCACGTAATAGTTTTAATAATGCTCCGCTGCAATTAAGTTAATTATGCAATTAAAATGATGGGATCTGGGCAATTGAAGGAGTTCATGTATTTGATTAAGATGTTCTGCGCAAATTGCATATTAAACATGCTAAGGGTACCTTACCTGCGCGCAAGTTACGTGGGTCAGTTTGCAACAACTGCACCTAAGCATTACGTGGGCCAGTTCCTTACCTGCACAGAAAATTAGATGCTCATTACGTTGGGAGTGCATATTACATGGGCCAGTTGCATAAAGTGACGCATATTAGGTGCACCAACGTGCGCAACGTGCGCAGTTGTATATTAGGTGCGGTAAATGTATTTGATTTTAATTCCGTGACATTTGTTTTATGATGAGTATTGGCTGCTGCAATTAATTTAAATTGCAATATAAATTTAAAACGTAAATGTTAATGTGGAGGCTAAAATGGGATACGTGAATGAATTATGGTTTGTTATTGCTAAATAAATAATAATAGAAAATATTATAAATGATTAATAACAATTAAAGTTATTATTTTATTTGAAATTAAGTATGATAAATTTTGTTAGTCACCAAAGTGGCCAAAATTTTAAGGTTATTTTAATTTCAAATTATTAGTGATTTTATTTCAATTACCCATAGTATGAACGCTAAAATTATGAATAATTGATTTATGGGTTAATTGAAGTTCATTATTATAAGACATTTCAGGATCACCCAAAGGTTGATTAATTGTTATTATAATTAATGAACATGAAAGTAGATAATTTTGTGTGCGTCACTAGTTTTATTTATATACCCAAAGGTGTTAGGTGATTCTAGTTGATGCATATTTTAATTATCATTAAAGTTATAAAAAGATTAGCGTAATTATGTTTGTGTATTAGTGGATCTCCCAAAGGAGAACATTAGTATGCATAGAATGGTTATTTATGGTTAAATCTGTATTTATGCTTAATTTTATGACTCAAAGTATTAATGTTAGGCATGTGTTAATTGCAGTATCTGTTCCTGTAGCTCTGCATTCGCTATCTTCGTCTGTTCCAGTCTTTAATGGGTTAAATTTCCCTGACTGGAGTGAACAAGTCCAATTTCACTTAGGTGTGTTGGATCTTGATTTGGCTTTCCAAGTTGAAAAACCGGCTACTATCACTGATGTTAGTAGTAATGAAGAGAAAACTCATTATAGAGCTTGGGAAAGATCAAACCGACTTAGCCTTATGTTTATGCGAATGAGTGTAGCAAGCAATATTAAGTCTGCTCTTCCCAAAACTGAGAATGCGAAAGAGTTCATGAAATTTGTGGAAGAGCGCTCTCAAACTGCTGACAAATCCCTCGCTGGGACATTGATGAGTACGTTGACCACCATGAAGTTTGATGGTTCTCGTAGTATGCATGAACACGTAATCGAAATGACAAATATCGCAGCAAGACTGAAGTCTCTAGGAATGGCAGTGGAAGAAAATTTCCTTGTGCAATTCATTTTGAACTCGTTACCGCCTGAGTATGGTTCGTTCCAGATGAATTATAACACCATGAAAGACAAATGGAATGTGCATGAATTGCACAGTATGTTAGTCCAGGAGGAGACCAGACTCAAGAACCTAGGAAGTCAATCTATTCATTACGTGAAAAATCAAGGAGCTAAAAAGAAAGTTGTTAAGAAACATGGAAAGGGTAAAGGACCATTAAAGATTAACGAGTCCTCTACTAACATTCATAAGAAAAATGACAAATGTCATTTCTGCGGGAAGTCTGGACATTTTCAGAAGGACTGCTTAAAGCGTAAAGCTTGGTTCGAAAAGAAAGGTGAGCATAGTGCTTACGTATGTTTTGAATCAAATTTAACTGAAGTTCCCCATAATACTTGGTGGATTGATTCTGGATGTACAACTCATGTTTCTAATGTGATGCAGGGATTCCTTTCAACCCGAACCATAAACCCAAATGAGAAGTTCGTCTTCATGGGGAATAAAGTCAAGGTTCCAGTGGAAGCTGTCGGGACTTATCGTTTAATCCTTGACACTTGGATATCACTTAGACCTTATGGATACTTTTTATGTACCTAGTATCACTAGAAATTTAGTTTCTTTGTCTAAGCTCGATGTTGCTTGGATACTCTTTTAAGTTTGGGAATAGTTGTTTCAGTTTATTTAAGCGTACATGTATGATTGGAACTGGTACACTTTATGATGGTTTATATAAATTGAATTTGGATAATTTATATGCTTGAAACTCTCATGACCTTGCATCATAATGTTGGCACTAAACGTAGTTTGGTGGATGAAAGATCTGCTTATTTGTGGCATAAGCGTTTGGGACATATTTCCAAAGAAAGAATGCAAAGATTAGTAAAGAATGAAATCCTTCCGGATTTAGATTTTACTGATTCGAATGTATGTGTGGATTGTATTAAAGGTAAACAAACAAAACACACAAAGAAAGGAGCCACAAGAAGCACTCAACTTCTTGAAATCATACACACCGATATATGTGGTCCATTTGACGTAAATTCTTTTAATAAAGAGAAGTATTTCATCACTTTCATTGACGATTTCTCGCGTTATGGATATGTCTATTTACTATATGAGAAATCTCAAGCAGTAAATGCCTTAGAAAGTTATATAAACGAAGTGGAGAGGCAATTAGACGAAAGGTGAAAATTGTCGGGTCGGATAGAGGTGGTGAGTATTATGGAAGATATGATGAAAGTGGACAACACCACGGTCCGTTTGCTAAGTTCCTCGAGAAGCGTGGTATTTGTGCTCAATACACAATGCCGGGCACACCGCAACAAAATGGTGTGTCTGAAAGGCGTAATCGAACCTTAATGGATATGGTTAGGAGTATGTTGAGTAATTCATGTTTACCTGTATCGTTGTGGATGTATGCTTTGAAGACTGCCATGTATTTGTTGAACAGGGTTCCTAGTAAAGCGGTTCAAAAGACTCCTTTTGAGTTATGGACAAGTAGGAAACCCAGTTTAAGACACCTACATGTTTGGGGTTGTCGGGCGAAGTAAGAATTTATAATCCGCAAGAAAAGAAAGCTGGATGCAAGAACAATCGGTGGATATTTCATTGGTTATCCGAGAAAAATCAAAGGGGTATATGTTTTACTTGTCCTACTCATAGTACAAGAATTGTTGAAACTGGAAATGCTCGGTTCATTGAGAATGGTGAAACCAGTGGGAGTGAAGCTTCACGAAATGTGGAGATTAAGGAAATTAGAGTACAAGTTCCAATAACTAGTACATCTTCAAGAGTTGTTGTTCCAAATGTTGTAGAATCACACGACAATCAAGAAGAACAACAAATTAATGATCCTGAGATAAACAATGATCCGATAACAGAACAACCACAGGAAATAATATTAAGAAGATCTCACAGAGAAAGAAAGTCTGTTATTTCGAATGATTACGTGGTTTATCTACAAGAGTCAGAAAATGACCTAAGTATTGATAATGACCCAGTTTCATTTCCAAACGTCATTAATGGTGATAATTCTGACAAATGGTTAGATGTTATGAAAGATGAGCTTAAATCAATGGCACATGATGGTGTATGGGATCTTGTGGAATTGCCAGAAGGATGCAAGAGTGTTGGGTGTAAATGAGTCTTTAAGACTAAGCGTGACTCTCATGGCAATATCGAACGTTATAAGACCCGTCTTGTTGCCAAAGGTTTTACTCAGAAAGATGACATTGATTATAAGGAAACATTTTCACCTGTTTCTAAGAAAGATTCTTTTAAAATTATCATGGCATTAATAGCTCATTATGATCTTGAGTTGCATCAAATGGATGATAAAACTGCTTTTCTGAATGGAAATTTAGAGGAGGATGTTTATATGAATCAACCAGTGGGGTTTATTGAAGAAGGAAAGGAACATATGGTGTGTAAACTTAAGAAATCAATATATGGACTTAAACAAGCTTCTCGACAATGGTATCTTAAGTTCAATGATACTATTTTGTCCTTTGGATTTAAGGAAAACACTTGTTGATCGGTGCATATATCTGAAGGTCGGTGGGAGTAAGTTTATATTTCGATTCCGTATGTTGATGATATCTTGCTTGCGACTAATTATCTTGGTCTATTAAGTGAGACTAAGAAGTTTCTCTCTAACAACTTTGAAATGAAAGATATGGGTGAGACATACTATGTGATAGGAATAGAAATATTCAGTGATAGATCACAAGGAATGTTAGGTTTGTCTCGGAAAGCATATATTAATAAAGTTTTAGAGAGATTCGTAATGGAGAATTGTTTTGCATTTCCAGTTCCAATACGGAAAGGAGACAAATTTAGTCTCATGCAATGTCCAAAGAATGAATTGGAACGGAAACAAATGGAAAATATCCCTTATGCATCTATTGTTGGGAGTTTGATGTATGCTCAAACATGTACGAGGCCAGGTATTAGCTTTGCGGTTGGTATGCTTGGGTAGATACCGAGTAATCCTGGATTGGATCATTGGAAGGCTGCAAAGAAAGTCTTAAGATACTTACAAGGAACAAATAATGACATGCTTACTTATAGGAAAGTTGATCACCTTGAGGTGATTGAATATACAGATTCAGATTTTGCTGGTTGTATGGATACACGAAAGTCTACATTTGGTTATGTGTATCTTTTAGGCGGAGGAGCGATTTCATGGAAAAGTGCGAAGCAGTCTGTCATTGCTGCATCCACCATGGAAGTTGAATTTGTGGCATGCTTTGAGGCCACAGTTCAAGCTAATTGGTTGCAGAATTTTATTTCAGGACTTGGAGTAGTCGACAGCATTGCCAAGCCGCTGAAAATTTATTGTGACAATTCCGCAGCAGTCTTCTTTTCTAAGAACGACAAGTATTCCAAAGGTGCTAAGCATATGGAATTGAAATACTTTGCCGTTAAAGAAGAAGTTTAGAAACGAAGAGTGTCAATAGAACATACTAGCACTGATCTTATGATTGTTGATCCTTTAACAAAGGGATTATCGCCCAAATTATTTGCTGGCCATATAATGAATGTGGGCATTATGTTCACTAGTGAATGTTGAATGTTAATGTTATTATTAATGCTTATGTGACACTCTGAGATCTTTAATGTATAAGTTTCTGAAATTTGTGTTTTTTTCTTTATTTATATGCATGCAAATTATGATGAGGAAAACAAATTATGTTATTATTATTAAAATGATATTATGTTTGAACCCATTATGAACTTCTCATTATAAAGTCATATTAAGGAGAAAGAGATAATATAGTGGTACATGGAAGGGAGTCTGTCGATTGAATGACATGTAACCGCCATGACTCTTGTTATAGTCTGTATCTTTAATTATGAATGATGATAGAACCAATTTATGTAAGGTCCTTTAATGCGCATTATGACTTAAGTATTAAATCACAGAATCGTATGACATCACATGAGTCAAGTGGGAGAATGTTAGAATTAATTTAATTAATTCATTCCATTATGTGACTCATGTGAAATATAATAATGGGCCCAAATGTGATTTAATAAAATATGAGGACCTATTGGTTATTATGTGAAGTCAGAATAAAATAAAGATAAAATAAAATATTAACTTACGGTAACCAACTTGATGGACGTTGGTTAATAAAAGGGATTAGGGTTCTGTCTCTGGCCATAAGGTTTTTTCACGGTAAACCATCAAGAAAGCGAAGCGTGAGAAGAGAAAGAAAGACAAAGAGATAGATTGGGAAAAGGAGATAGGAGAACGAAAAGATCAAAGAAAAAAATTCTCATGGATCAAGGTTAGTCTTCTTACTATGATTCATGTATTGATATATGTAAAATTGTGAAAATCAATAATCTAAAGATCCTGTAGAGTAGTTTTCTATAATGAATTAAGAACGTAGGAAAACTACATAGTGTTTTACAGAAGGAAGAATAACAATGAATATCCCAAAACTAAATATTTTCACGCAAGAGCAATAGTTGCATTTATAACCCACTAACTCAACTGTTAACTAACAACTTATTAAAACCATATTTCATAACAAAACGAGCGGCATAGGTAGTGATGCCAGCATCGCAGTGTCTAGCTGAGAGTTAATCAAATGGCTAGTTAACAACCATCTTGCATCGGCTTGAGGACTGGAGCGTGGTGGGCTATTAGGATCTAATTACAAGGTATAGATGGGACTTGAGTCACACATCGAAAGTATGGGATTCTAAAGTAGGATTTATAAGTCCTTGGGCTATCCAAGAGGAACAACTATGAATAACAAAAATCAACTGTACATGATGTCAACAAGAAAGGTTTTAAATATGAACAAATATGTAAAGTGCTTAATGTCTTTCACAATTAGTAAAAGAAAAAACAAAGATATTGTGGAATACTTATGGAGTTTAAACATTCTCATCAATAATCAAATGCAACATAGAATAAGCATAATACCTGCTCGCTGAAGGTAATTGATGAGTAACAACAGAAATGGATTAAGAGTTGAAATAAAAAACAAAAGATGAATGGTGTAAATCGAATTCATTTAGTGTAGAATTCTTTATAATGCCAAACAAAGGTTTTTCACTCCCTGCGAAACGTTTTTAACAATTTTTAAACGGATGACAGTAACACCAAATTATTCAAAAAAATAGTTAAAAAAGTTTCTATACTAATATTATCAAGCTAAAACCCAAGACTAAGATAAACTCGTAAAAGCACATGCAGTGGCAAGATAGAGGAGAACATTTTTAAGGCAACCATACTTAGCAGATAAAAAATAATCTTTATATACTCAAATAATTTTGAAAAACATCTAACAAAGATTGATGCAACCTCCTATCTCATGTAAGACACAACCTTCTGTTTCAAAGTTTTCCAATTTCCATAATACTAAGAGTAGTGCCCCAAAACATGAAAACTTTGATTACTAACAGAGTACGACCATTCATTACAACAATGACTCCACTTCAACAACTGAGAATGCTTTCCTTTACCAGATAGACAACAGTCAACAATTGATAGTCTAATGTGTCGAACAGAAAAATGCAAACAATAAAAAAGGGGCCATTTTTAGAAGACAACTTCAATCATTCAACGAAGCAAGTAGATCAAAATCATAATTAATAACTAAAAAGAGCTCAAGACTGGAATCTGGTTAAAAATTCTAGTGACTCACAGCATAAATAACAGCAAGTACTTCTGATGATGCCAAACTCCAGTCACTTGACTCGGTATTCACGAATGATGACACCGTGACCATCAGTAAAGTTCCGAATAAGTATGAATATGCTGTGACAGATATGTTTGCTGGATATTTTTTTAATACTGGTGCCTGAAAACAGTTAAATGTAACAATTTAAAAACACCAATAATTTCACATGTTAAAGAACCTAAGATCCCAAAATATTAATTGGTTAAGTTAGGAATCAGCACTAATTTGATCAATGAAGAAATTAGGAATGAGTAATGAGTCAATGACCTGATGCTGAGAGTGATGCTATCGACAATTTTATTTACTGCAATAAGCATGAAAAGCCTGGAGAGGTCATCCTATCTAATCTAAGTATATTTATTAAGAGTTTGTTTTGATGCAGGAGGATTGAGGAGAGGGAGGGAAAAAATTAAGTTATTCATAATTCTGCAAACACTTGACCAAAATATTAGGGGACCTTATTTTGATATGCCCCCAAACTGAAAATAGATGGTCATAGGGAAGTGAAATTCATAGAAAGAATTAGAATATGAAAGAAGTGGTTGCAATAGAAGCAATTATCCAATTACAACTATCCCAGGCCTACACTGTTAATCTAAATCATGAGACATGAAAAGAAGTTGGAATGTTGAAAATTGGCAGGGTATCATAACTTTCTTATCATGGGGATTTAAGTGAAAAGAAGATTCCTAATAAGCAAGAACATATAGAGTCATCTCAGCCTCCCAGGTGAATGGCACAGAGAAGTTGGGACTTGGTAAAAGGGTAACACAGGCAAAATGTGAAATTGATGACTAACTTTTTCCTCTTAATTATGTAATCAAGCAGTCTCTTAATGAATACTTAAAAAATATAATACCTGAATGGCTAGAAACGCAGCCATACAAATGCAGTTCCCAATCAAGCACAGAACCCCAAGATGAAAACGGTCAAACCCGATAGCTTGTAAAGCACCAATTAACCATCCAGTTGGCTCTGGCTGTCCTTTGGCACTTATTTCATTTTGTGTACCATGATCGATTGGAGCATGTCCTATCAAAGCTGGACCACGATACAAAACCATTAATATGGCACCAGAAACACAGATGATGGTTCCTCCAACTTTTGCCAGACCATCATATCTGGCTAGGTTTACTCTTTCTGTACTGCATGAAAAAGTTTACACAGATGCATGTTATTGTATGACCAGTGTATCTGAATAAGTTTATTAATGTAAATATTTATGCACTACAAGTGAGATTGTGTATTTTTGTTTGAGTTACAGAATACACACGTATACAATTTGAAATGGATAAATAATACAAGAGACATGAAACTGACCCCATCATTACAGCCAACATAAAGGTAAAGACCGGAATGGCCGGTTGTATGGCAGCCGCATAAGATGGATTAGTATAGCTTAAACCAATAAGAAACAAAAGCTGGTTGCCAAATATCCTGATCATGAATCAAGAATGCATCAATAAAGCACCATATCTTTCATATACCGTGGAAATGGGAAATAAGTAGTATAAAGAGCCTCACCCAGTTAATCCAAGAAAGAAGAATGAAACCAGGAGGTTCTTAGTAGTGGGTGGTCGAATCCGTCTACATTCCAACATGGCATGATTAAGATATCCACTCAACAAAAAGAAAAGAATAGTATGACAAGACATAGGAAGGAACAAAAAGTTGCAAGTTACAATTTTAAATCTAAAGATTGAATGTGAAGTACGGTTAAATGTACAGATCAGTAACATGTGCTGCAACACCCACAACAACAAAAGGTTGTCATCCTTTGATGTATCAATCATGGAACTCCGGAATCATATCCACAACCATGCATTACATTTCTAAAAACAGATTTTAGAATATAATTAAATGCATCAAACATGCAAACAAACGTATAGTCTATATGATATTACTTAAATATTGAGCGTGCACTAAAATTATCAGGCAGAAAGGTCCACATATCAATGAACACGACTGTAAGTTTTCATACAACTAGAATTACCCTACGATCCAAACACTCCAATGGTCATAGAAATATTGTCTTAACACATAACTCAGAGACTCAAAAGCCCAGTTCCCCTTATCTGTAACAAGCACATGCAAACAATCAGACTGTTGCAAACATCACCATCCTTCCAAACTGTGGAACAAGAAAAAGGGCTTAAACATCCAATCCTAACCGATTGAATCCGCAATACTCAACTTTTTTAAAAGTGGAACCGATAAATAAATAAATGGTGAAACCAAAGGCCTGGTTAAGAGGAGGAATCTCTTTCAATGGCATCCAACCGAGGTAAACAACAGAACAAAAGGGGGCATATTCACAGGATTTGAAAAACATTAAAAACACAATCTTGAATAGAAAAAGGGGCATACTTTTCACGAATATAAGCAAGGGGTGCGAGGATTGAAAGAGCAATGGCATCGCGAAAGACACAGAAGACTAATTGGTTGACGCCAACATTAAGGGCCACTTTGGTGATGACATGGTAGATGCCATTGAAAAGCTGCACCATCGCCATGGCCGTATGGGCCTTCCATATGTCACCCCCACACCCACTCCAACTCCAGCTGCTCCCATTGGAATGAATCCACTCTCTACAACAACTCCGACACCCTCTAAAACACCAAATGGGGTTGTTGGGTTAGTTCGATCGTTGAAACAGTGATGCCAAAACCAACCGCAATGCTTAGTTCCGAAGCCACTGACACAGAATAAGATTAAACAAACAAATAAGTGAACATTATAAGTGTAGATTGTCTTCAAATCTTGAAGCAAAGGTTGTGGAAACTATGATCGGCTGGGAGATAAGAGTGGATAGTCTCACTCAAATTTCGATTGACTGGACTTCGGCATACAAATTTTTTCTTTTTTTCGGTAATAAAGAAAATGATTTGTTTTTTAATACTCTAATATTGATATGTATTGACTGTGCAAAACTGTTTTATGTGAGTAATCAATCAAAGATCATCATTAATCCAAGTTATAAAATAATCAGTGTAAAAAATTTATTTTGTTTTTTGTTATATGTGAGCTCACATAATAAATATTAATTATCATCATTTAATAATGGATATTTACATAAATACTCAAACAGAGAGACGAATTTTTAATTTTTTAGCAAATTTGTAGTTTATACTAATTAAACTAAAATCAAGTTTTAAATCTGACTTTAATTATCAATAGGGAATTTTAGAAAACCATAGTAATAAATAGATGTGAGAATTAGAATTGAGGGTCGGGTAATATAAAAATAAATAATATATATATATATATATATATATATATATATATATATATATACTCGTTATTTGATAGAAAAATATGTTTATTTTAAAAAAAATTAATTAATTAACTAAAATTAAATATTTATATAATTACAAGTTAATAATTTTTTAAATTAATATCTTGTTTTTTTAATACTATATATTTTGATATATAATAATCAAAATTTATTTTTAATATTTGAGTTTTAATTAAAAATTAATATAATACTAAAAAATATGAAATATTGTAAATTATTTATTTAAGTTTTATAATGAATAACATGATTAAAAACCAATATATACGTGAGTCATTGTTAATATTTAAATGTTTATATTTAAAAAATTAAAAAAAATTATAGATATAAAAACAAATTTATTATTTTATTAAAGATAAAATAAATATAAGTATAATTATGTAAATCTAACTTCAATTAAATTTTTACATATTATTAAAATAAAAATTAGAAATAATTATCACTGTAAAGTTTTTTTTATTAATTCCATAGAGGAATAGTAGTACACTTCATTGTATTTTTTTAAATATTTCAATAGAATGTTATTTATCATTATATATATATATATATATATATATATATATATATATATATATATATGTGTGTGTGTGTGTGTGTGTGTTGTATTAAATATAAAAAAATTTAAAAGTGGTAAAATATCTAAAAATATTAATATCAAATACGTAAAAAAAAAGTATTTATGTTCAATATATCTAATTGATAAGTACTAGTAAAGTAACTTGAACATAAATATAAATATTTTCTTAAATACTTTAAGTAAAGTTTTGATAACTATTTTTGAATAAATTTACAGCTAGAGATATTTATAAATGAAATATAATTTTAAAATTTATCGTTTATATGAAAATTTTTATTTGTATTCCGTGTAAAATGTTACCTTACACGTTATTTTTCAACACCTTTATGAACCACGTATATAAATTGTTTCATTGAGAGGTTTTAAGTTTTTAATATACATGACAAAGCGTTCAATCTCAATATCTCAGCAAGTGAAGAAAAAACTAATTTGTATTCATATATTCTAATAAAGAAAGGAGAAGAAAATAATGTTGTGTAATTGCGATAAAAATTCTTCTAAAGCCGTAAAAATCTCAATGCTAAGAAAAATGCAAAACAGAGAGAGAAAATATCATCATGTCTCTGGCTAGTATGTCTTATAATGCAAATAGGGGTGTGAAAGTGAGCCAATCCGGCTCACACGGGTTGGCTCACCACGGGTTGAGCTGAAAATAGATGAGCTCAACCCGGCTCACTTTTTGGTGAGCCAGAAATTTTACTAACCGACTCAACCCATCACGGGTTGGTGGGTTAGGTGGGTTGACTCACTAACCCATATTTTTTTTAAATAATATAAATATAAAATATATATATATATATATATATATATATATATATTTCCAAACTTCGGATGTAGAAACTTTTGCTTTTTTCCTTTTTTTCTCAACATCAGTATCTTCATTATTAACTGAAATTGGCTCATTGGGTTTTTCATTAACAATAAAATCATCACCAACACAATTCACATTGACACTTTGATGCATTGTTTCAGATTCCATACTGTAAATTAATTTGAAAGAAAGAAGTTAAAAATTCATATATTAAAGAGATATACGTATAAATCAATAACAAACAACAAATAATGTATAAATGCTACAGTGGGTACGGTGATGTAGTGATACGATGAAGATGAACATATAATAAGATAGTGCAACGACAAACGTGAGTGTTCTTGATAGGGTTTGACTTGTTGTGGCAGCTGACAATATAGGATAGAGATGAGGCGGGATAACATTTAGGGTTACTTGAAGTATTATAATTGTTTTTAAAATTTAAAATATAATTATTAATTAAGGTTAATATATATTATAATTATTTTTAAAATTTTAAATTAATGGTGGGTTGCGGGCCAACCCACCATAACCCGGCTTCGAACCCGTTTAACCTGTGGGTTAAGTGAGTCGGGTTCATTTTTAGCTCATAATCGGTAGAAATAAAAAAATCCAACCCGACCCGGCTCGAACCGTGGTGAGCCGGGTTAGCTCACGAGGTTAGAACCCATATTGACACCCCTAAATGCAAACATATCATCATTTCGAAGAACTTTTCATTAGAAGAATTAAGTTTTATTATTATTATTATTATTATTATTATTATTATTATTATTAAACAATAGTTATTTTTGGATAAAAAGAATAAAGGAGGAAATAAATTTGGAAGAGAGAAGAGAAAATAAATTTCACCTAACAAATTAAATATTTTAAAATTAAAAGATTGTTATACGTTATCAACTATTCAATTAATCAATTTTAAAATAATAATTAACTTTTCAAAAAAAAATACTTAGTTTTTTTACCAAAAAATTACATATAATTATTTATTCGATCACATTTTACCTTTTTTTTAATTTTGAAAAATAGCTAATATTAGGTACCCATTAAAGTTACTACTAAAAAGTTTTAAACAGCTTTTAATGTCCAATTTGTTTGGAACATACAAATGGGAGAAAAAATGTTTTTTTGTCCGAACCGAAATAAAATAAAAATAGAGTAAACTTCATTAATATTTATTTTAATTATTTATTTATTTTCATTCAAATATTTTTATTTTCCTTTTAACTTTTTTAATTAAATAAATACTATCAAATTTTTTTATTTCTGATTTGTTTTTATTCATTTTGTGGTTTTCATTCTTCTTACTTGTTTGGTTTTTTATGAAACATACATCTCAATAGAACAAAACATTTAACTACATCTTATATTGAACAGTGAAAAAATCTAACACTAAACTTTGAATATACATCTCAAATTTCCGAGTATGTCAAAATTTAAAAAATACAGATACCATATTACATTTTTCACAATAAGACTTCACTCAAACAAACTACTCTTACATCTACATGATCAAATACAGACACGTACCATTTAAAATTTATAACAAGAACAGATTCAAGAACCACGAGAGAATGATAAGAAGAATAAATTCAAGAATCAGTCTTCACGGCACATTGTCATTCAACCATTCATTTGATGAGCTTGGCTTTGATAGTGAATTGGAGGATCCTGAATTCTGATATTCACCTTTTTCATGAATAAGTGGTTCAGAGATCCAAGAGCCATTAGGAGTAACTACAAAAGTTTCTTGTTTCTCTCTATAGGATGCCCAAGTAACTATATAGAGACCAGCAACGATCAAAGATCCCCCTAGGATGCTATCATCACATGGACCACAAAATAAGAACAAGAACCAAAATAAGCTTCTAAATACAATAATCTCAGTGCAATGCAATAGAAAAGTTGGAACTTCCATAGGTTTCAACTAGATATTGCATTTTATTAAGCTTTCAATTCTTCCATTTTCACTCCTTAAAATTTAACTTTTATACAGTGACGGTGTCTCTGCATTGTTTATACTTTTTTTTGTAATGTTTTAGTCTTACCCTCTACAGTGGTGAGTGTAGGTTTATAGTGGCATGGTGAAGTTAAGTTAGAAAAGAATGCATCAATTTGTTGAAATGGTAGAAGTATACCTTCCCAAGTAAATTGGAGTGCCAAGGAAAATTTGGGACAGGAAGGCAGAAAATGCAGGTTGAAGCGGATTATAAAGGGAAACCAAAGCTGGCCCCAAGATCTTATTGCTCCATGTAATGATTCCATAGTTAAGAGCAGATGCAATAGTTCCCTGAACAAATAAGGAGACTTTTTTGTCAAAATCTACATGTTAATAAAGCACCAAATAATCCATGAGAAGGTGAGTCAATTAAACCCTATGCAGGAACTCAACATAGAAGACTTTCAAATATTTTCATCCCTTAATTGCTTAATTTCAGTGGTTTGTTTTCCGCTTTCATATTACTTAAATACAATTTTCAGTGACACAGACGTGATCTTTGACTTCTGTGCTACACTGCCACTCATTTTTGCTCTGCATTTAACAGTTATGATTGAACAATAAGGTAGAACAAATTGTTGAACAATAACATCACACCAAAATCCCATGTTATTCTCACGTCTCTCAAACATTGATACTATCAGGTAGAGCAGTATTGTGGCTGTTGCCAATAAGGTCAATACCAGCTTTGCTTCTTTTTTAATACCAACATGTTAGTAAATAAACATAGACACGAGAATTGAAATATCAAATTGAGATCTTACAAAAAAAAGTTTTCTGTAATTATATTTGAAGGATTTCATGGTGTTAGTGATGTCTCATTGTCAACTGAACAAGCTAATAAACAATAAAAAAGGGTTTAGAAGACAATATAAATGGTTTCATGAAGTAATGGACAAAATTATTAGAAATGACAAATAAGAGTTCGTGCAATGGAGACTAATTTAAAATTCCAGTGACTCACAGAATATGCAACTGCTAGTATCTCTGGTTGCCTCAAAATCCAGTCAGTTGACTCGTTAACCATGAAAGATGATGCAATCACCATCAGTGCAACACCAAAGAAGAATGAATATGCCGTGACGGATAGATTAGCAGGATATTTTTTCAATATTGGTGCCTGAAAATAATGAATTGCAATATATTAAACATGGCAACAATCTCAGAAATCAAATAACTGAATATCATAATAAATCAGTTCACAAAACGATGTAATTATAAGATTGCCCTTTTTAGCAATAAGTAATGTCATGTGAGAATCATTGGAAAACTAATGATAAATTTAATCCAAAGAATTGAAAAGAAAAATGTGAAAAAGTTTTGTGAAGTTGTCCAATATCAAAGTGTGATTTTATTAAGGGTATATTAGGAATAGAGGGAAACGAAAGCGATACTTTGACAACCAGGAAAAAAACATCCGTTCGACAACTGGGGCCAAAAGTAAATTATTTGAAAATAAAGGGTTTGATTAGTAAATTATAAGAGTCGAGAGATGCAATATTGTAAAAATGGAGGGATGAATTTGTAAAAAGTGAAATATATGTTTTCGTTACGGTATTTTCCTCTCGTGACTTCCTCTCGCTCGACTTAGGGTAACCATCATTCACGGCATCTTTCTCTCGCTTGTCTTCCTCCAGTCTCGTTTGAGCTTTGTGTTGTTGAACATCACTGTCTCTCGCTTGAGCGACCTGCGATGAGTGTTCGTGCTACTCCATTTGCTTTATTTTCTATGTATTTTTTATTGGGTTTCTATTGTTGCTTTCTTTTCTGTTTATCTTTGATTGGGTTTCCATTGTTGTTTTCTTTTCTGTTTATCTTTGATTGGGTTTGTAATGAAGGTGTTCTTCAGGGTTTAGGGTTAATTGAGTTGTGATGCTATATTAATGTCGAACAAGTGTTTGATGAAATGCTACAATGAAGAATTGTATTTGCGCATTGTTGCTTTGTTTTCTGTTTATCTATGATTGGGTTTGTAATGAAAGTGTTCTTCAGGGTTTAGGGTTAATTGAGTTGTGATGTTATATTAATGTCCAACAAGTATTTGATGAAATGCTACAATGAAAAATTGTATTTGCGCATTGTTGCTTTGTTTTCTATTTATCTATGATTGGGTTTGTAATGAAAGTGTTCTTCAGGGTTTAGGGTTAATTGAGTTGTGATGCTATATTAATGTCCAACAAGTGTTTGATGAAATGCTACAATGAAGAATTGTATTCTCGCATTGTTGCTTTGTTTTCTGTTTATCTTTGATTGAGTTTGTAATGAAAGTGTTCTTCAGGGTTGATCGATGTCGTACTCGGTCAAATAATTAAAAGAGATAAATATAGTACTAGGAAGCTTTCCTAGGTCGTCTCCCAATCATGAATTTCTATCAAAGCTTATCAATTTTTAAAATTAGAACAGTAACAAAAAAAGGGGAGTTTTTCAAAATTAAAATATTAGATGAAACAGAACAAAAGCAGATTATAAAAATGCGGATTAAAAATAGATTAAAATGCAATTGATTTCCTGATTCTAATGCAGTGTCACTTATCCTAGATTACGAAATTAATTCGAAATTAACCAACTAAGCGAAGATAAATCCCAAATTATATTCTAATTCGAAATTAATCAACTAAGCGAAAATTAATCTCAAATTAGCTTTAACCCTTGTTCCAATATGAAATTAACCAACTAAGTGAAGAGTAATCCCAAATTTTCCTTAACCCTTATTCCAACATGAAATTAACCAACTAAGCAAAGATTAACCCTAAATTATCCTTATACAATTAAGCATTGCATACATCACATAATCTCATCTCTAACACAGAATTAAGCAAACTTTGATATTAGTTTCAGTTTATTAAGCATAAACAGATTATAATTCAACACTGAGATTAGAAGATGAAGAGTTAAGAGAACAAACAAAATGAAATTGAAGAACAAAACCTCAAATATCTACTTGCATTCTTCTCAGAAAATCAATACAAAGATTTAGCTATCCATGGAAAGTTGAAAACGCAATAGAAGAAACATAATTAAAATCGAAACAAGAATTTAAAAATAATGACAGAAGAGTAAACAAACTTGAATATAAATTGCAGAAGATGAAAGGTGGAAGTGTGGTGTGCGTAGTCCTTGTGTGATGTGTGTCTTCTGATGTGTTATGTGCCTCTCTTATATAAATAACCCTAACCCTAATCTTTATTGCGGTTTGGGCTCAACTGGTCCATGAAACACATCATAAGTTGGCTTTAGTGCAGATCCGTGAACTTCAAACACCTGCAGTATTTTCAATACTCATCCAAATTAAGCGATTTCGGTATCCTTTGAAATCCTTTTGAGTTAGCTTTAAAACGCCACCATTGTTACTATTTTTGGAGGTCTAATGAATTTAGGAGACTTAAATTACTGAAGCATGTCCATTGGGCCGGCCTGGTGCGCTTGACCCGTGTTGGATAATTTATGTAAAATCCAATTTATCTTCGAATTGAATGATTTTAGATCCTATGGAAAGCTGAATGTGTCTAGTTTATAATGTTTTGAAAATAATGATTTTTTGAGATCTGTAGAAAAAATGATAAATAAAACAGTAAACCAATGTTAGTACTCGTATAGAATAAAATATGACATTTGACCCAATTTTCCAAGCCCAAAATTGCTTTAAACTGTAAAATGGCATCTAGCCCAATCTTCTAGGCCCAAAATTGCTTTAACTGTCCTAAAATTAATAATGAGAAAAAATTAGATCAAATAGATTTAAATTAATTAAAATCTAATTATTGGCCCAATGAAGCCCAATTAATAAAAATTCACTAATAATAGAAAGTTAAGCCCAAAACACTAATTAAAATAAGTTCGAGAAAGGGAAGAAAATACGGGAATATAATGACTCATCAAGGGTATAGGGTTAATTAAGTTGTGACGCTATATTAATGTCCAACAAGTGTTTGATGAAATGCTACAATGAAGAATTGTATTTGCATCACAAACATTTTGTATAATATGCACAAGATTTACACCCACGTTTGCATAATACACAATTTCACCAAAATTATGTGTAACATTCTTGGACTAAATTTTTAATTTTTAACTATTTTGTCATTGTAAGTTTAATTTTAGTAATTTGTAACAGGATTAGTTTGGGAAAAAATGTACTGCAAAAAGAGACCAGTCATGAAGACAAAAAGGTATGTGTATGTTATGGGCCATGATAATAGATCACGAAAACCAATTGATAGAGTTATGGTAAATATTTGTTTTAAGTTGTCTACGTAGGTAATATAGTTAATTCGAGCTATGTTTATTTGGCGAATAATGTAATATTGTGAACAGTTGCAATGTTTTGAACATCTATTGTCATTGTTGGAAACAAAGTCATCGAGGACCATCTGGAGAACTTAAGGTTACAAAGGAGGACTTGCCAATTCAACCAAACATGTTAGTATGTTATTATAGTTGAAATTTTGTTTGCAAAATGTTGTATGTAATGCGTGTAATAACTACATTCAATTGTGCATGTATGATTGTGGATTGTTTGTTTTAAAATATATATGGAGTTGTGGGATGGTGTGAGCAAAGTGAATGGGAAAAGCATGCCTCATTACACATCGATAAACATTAAAGTCATTGTATTATTGTTTTGTTTTTTATTACTATGAATATAATTTATTATGACATTCTTCATATTGTACGAGAGCAAGTTCAGAAATTTCGAGAAGAATATGTATGCGAGATGGGTACTTCATCCTCAAAATCTTCATCGACAAGTCATGGTTATTGAATCAGGAGTTAACATCCTCATCTAGGAATAGAAATGTAGATATTGTATTTGATTATTTGTTCATCTTCATTGATGAATGTTGTACAATTTATTCATATGTAATATAAGCTGTTAAGTTGGTTATGGATCATTTAAATGTTAAATATTATGACATTAACAATTGACTGATTTTTGGACCATGGTTACTATTTTTTGTATCATTTTTTTTATTTTGACAATTACATTATTGATTGGGTTTTACCAGTCCCAGTTGCACAATATCCCTATTCGGATGATGCGGACTATCTCCATGTAACAGAGTGTGTATTGAGAACCACAGTTGTACAAAATATATTTAATTACTACCAGATTTATATTTTACGAACATATGAAGATGAAGATGCTCCTCTATAGTATTAACTGTTAAAGGGCATGTTGGATTGGTTGATAAGGGTAGAACTATCCTCATACCACATACTTGGATGATATATGGAGTGTGGCCACCACCCACTCTCACTGCTCAAGTAAACATCATAGTAACATCAACAATCGATCAAGTATAACTTAGTTCCACAAAACAAAATGGTCATTAATTTCCATTTGAATTTCTGATGGCAAGATGTAGATATGTAATATAAAAGAAGAAATTCAAATTAAGAGAACAAGGGAAGAGAACAATATAAACTAGCATATGGAAATTGTACAAGTGATAAGATTTATTGTAGAAAAGATGTATAGGTTTACGTATAATCTTTATACATAACAGATAACTTCATGCTTAATAGTTGTAAAGAATGCGCTTAACAAAAAACAGATTGAAATTTGCATGTCACGTCTCATTCAAGTTCAGCCTTGGCCACAGACGAAATATCCAATGCAGTTAGCCACATTCTGTAACAAGGATAACCACATATTTGAATCACTTGCCGCTCGACCAAGCATAACGTCGCTTGAGCGAGAAACAACCTGAGAGTCCCTATTTTTTGTAAGGATACCTCGCTCAAGCGATGGATTTCTCGCTTGAGCGAGTGTTGGCCGTAGACGAAACGTCCAACGCAGGTAACCACATAATATGACATGGGTCACCACATATTCGAATCACTTGTCGCTCGAGCGATCATAACGTCGATTGAGCGAGACAGAACCCGAGAATCCCCATTGTTTGAAGGTTTTGTCGCTTAAGTGATGGTTTCGTCGCTTGAGCGAGTGTTGACCCAATGACGAAACGTTAAACGCAGTTAGCCAAATAATATAACTTGGATCACCACATATTAGAAACACTTGTTGCTCAAGCGTTCATAACGTCG